CTTGTGCAGTTTTTCATGGATGTTGCTGTGGTGGTGTTTAAGTTTGTTTTCTTTTTTAATTCATCGGATCCTTGCTTTATTGTTGCTTGGCATATTTTACACAGAACATTTTTACTTCCGGCAGTAAAGTATACCCACACTTTAGATCTAGCTCCCGACATCTTGGAACAACGATAACCACTGAAAATTTCAGGGCTATTACTACAACTTTCCTGACCTTCGACCGATGCTGCCAGCAACATTTCTGAAAATCCCGTATTTTATTTTGAAAAAACATTTTTATGCTCATTTTTCATAACGACAAGGTTTTATTACAAAAAAGCCTGTAAACTACGAACATTTTTTACAAGTTCCACAGGACCTCATCATTCTCTAGCGCGGCGGAAGGAATAGGAGAAGGTTAACATGCGGGATGATACCAATCTTTGCATAAACTGCACTCTATATAAAATTCCAACATTGACGGATTAGCAGCCAATTTGCATAGACAGAATACAGGTATTTTTAAATCTTTGAAAAAATTGAATTTGGTGTTGTTTCGTCATAAAAATAACCAGAAAAATCTTCTGACATATTGTTACATCACTAATGTCATTGAATTGACTAGTGTTATGGCTAGCTGAGGCAACTAGAGAAATTGAATAAAGTAGTTGGCTAGTTTAATTGTTACCTGGTTTCTATATTTTCGGTCGGGAATATATGCTAACAAAATCGGTTTCATGGAAAACTAAAAATCTAATGAGGAATCTATTAGCCTAGATTGACTATGCCTATAACTAAATATTAGTGTAATGGCCGACCAATATAATTCCCGCCGGGTGTTTTTTTTTGCAACCAGCCTGAACCGTAATACAAAAAATGCTGCCTATATGTCAGAAAATATAGTAATTACCCTTCTGTATCTCAAATTTGGTAAAAATCAGTAATCACTCAATCTGCAGTTATTTTGCAAACATGAGTTTAAAATAAAAGCTGACCAATTCAATTTTTTTTTTGACTAGATACGGGAGGAAAAATATCACAATGCTTTCTAAATATGATAACAAAAACGGCATTTTCTTCGTATGGCACTTCCTACGTTGTGAAGATTTTGAAGTCTTACACCGAATGTAGATATAGTAAAACTTTTGGAAGTTTACATGAGTTTTTTGCATGTTTTAGCTTGATAAATGACCAATGTGTTTGGACAATGGAAGTGTTTGTTTTGTATGGCACTGTTTACCTATTCTTAGCACCATTGTGGCCCGCAAACAATACAAAAATCATAGTGTGGCCCGCGAGGCCGACCACTTTGGACCACCCTGGTCTAACTCCTGAAAAGTTATGATAATAGGGCATTCGCCAAAGCACAAGGCCAGGGAAAATCCTATTGCAAATGCTTCGCAACATTCTACATCTTCGCATTGACGTTGAACATTCGTGAATGTAACTTTTATGCTCTTTCCCGAGCATCGAAGCAGTTTTAAAATTTGGTAAATGTCGTCATCGGTGTATGGCGATTGCGCGCTATCGTAAAGATAAACCTCATCGATACTTTTACAATATAAATTAGATGCAACAACCCAGTGGTTACCGTGGACCAACAAAATTTGAACATACTTCGATAATGGCGTGTAAACGGGTATTCCACAAAAAACTAGTATAAGCCTCTATCGCCTGCAAACCATCAATACTCGTAAAATTGGGACTTTAGTATGTTCATTGCATGATCAATTACATCAGACCCGATTTGTCTTGTCCAAGGAAGAGTATTTGGGTCGCTATCTAATATCGTTCTGGCGGTTTGTAGACGGAAACAGAGAGAGTAGAATCGTGAGACCCATGAAGACTGTTGCGGTCTTGAAGATATGAACTGGATATCAGTGGACATGAAACGATGCTTGCGTTGAAGCCGAATTGATGATTTTGCTAATAATATTGAAGGTTTCTTAATTGGTTTGAGAGGAACTTGAAAATATTTACCCATATTTGGATTCGGCGCCGTAGATTTCACCCTATTCTGCCAAACTTCAACTTCTTCTATCTCCGCTACTTTCCTTTTGCTACCCGTTTTTGGTTTAATCCGTTCATCTTGATATTCCCGCACGAGGGAATCATGTAACCCATCATAAGCAATAGCAAACTCGTCTAGTCGAGAAAATCTTCGATCTTCTCACCGAGTCCTTTTCAACTTCTGCTGACTTTTCTCCATGATTCCCTGCGTGCGGTTGTTTTCTGTAATATTTTGAGTTTTTAGTTGAGAATTTTTTTATATCCACGTGAAAATGTTATGTAATGATCGCTTGTTCCGTGTCTTCCTAAATCCCCAAGCATGAGTCCCGACCAAAATGCAATTTTTGGTACATAATGTTTCATAAATTTTTGAACAATTTTCGGGCAATAACATTTATTTGTTGGAACCATTGTGTCTGAGTTTATTATATTTTTTTCGGCCAGATTCATTGTCGTCTGAAAATCATTGTCATGATCATAAATCATAAACGGATTATAGCCTGAACTGGTCATATTTATTTCAATGTCGTCCATTTTCGACAACGTCCCGGATTCGTCCATAATTGCGGAGTTTTTTTGCGCTATCTGTTTATTCAAACATTCCCAACTCACAGAAGCCTCATCTGAGCTTTGGTGCCAAACAATATTGTCACGTGATGAATAAGTTCGTTGAGGAATTCCATGTTGCCCGCCATCACCGCCAACCCAAATATATGTATGCCATCTGGTATGTATTTGTCGAGATCATGACACAAGATTGTAAGATTTTTCATGATGTGACTTGAGCAGAGATGAATAATACCAGCTGTCATCATTGAAACGTTTGCATGTCCAGTAACTATGTCAAAACACCGGTTTGTGTAGCTTTCCAGTGTTTCTCCCATAAAATGCATTAACATCGAACGAATCAATACAATACTGCCGTCGCAAATAATTTGTTTCGGTGAGACTTTTAAAGGAAACAACTTTATTTCGTCTGCTCTGAATCGAGCAATGAAGTTGGAGATCGATGCCACATTGTGCTTGTTTGTCAAATATGACCCAACAGCAATGGGAACTTTTCCTTTGATAGGATGTCTTACAACTATTTCGTATAAACAGTAAAGACCGCCATTTGATGTTAATATGACTCCTGTGGCGTCGATGTAGACTATGCCCTCTCTGCGTTGAGTATGAAATATTTCCATCAACTGCTCTGACCATAACATGATTCCTGGAGAAGCCGAAATTTGTTGTAAAGTGCCTCGAATAGTTTCACCATTATCCCTAATTTGCTGATTTTCTTGTATCGCCATTAGAGAATTCCACAGATCTGAAGGTGATCTGACTTGGTGTTTTGATTTTATTTGCTTCATTCCTCGCCTTTTTTAACACATTTTTTGAAGGAGCTGCATCTCTATTTCCCGACTCAAAATTTTTGTCAGCTCACAAAAATATTAAAAAAATTAATCATGCAAAAATAAAACACATGAGAAACTGACAATCATAAGAGGGAATAATATATATGTGGCAACAATGTGGGCGAGACTGACGTGCACCTCGCATTTACAAGATGGAAATCTGCAGTATCCATCACAATTAAATAAAGCTACATTCGATTTTGCGCCTGTGTTGACTCTGTGTCGCTTGATGGCGAAACAACAGTAAGGATTGCTCTCGCGCAGGCAATCACGAATTTCGTCGGCCCAAATGCTATCCCTAAAAGACCGTCCATCCACAGACTTCACTAGGAGGCTCTATGTTGATTTTGATCTAGAAATTTGCGACTTTAAAGTATGACTAGTTTCGGGGGTCCAAATCTCCGAACGTTTCATATCAGCCGAGCTATCCACATCCTTTACTGTTCTATTGAGTTCGATCCATTCGTCGAAGGAATCAAAATTCGGGAGAGTAAAGGTGAAATTACCGCAATCTATGTTGTTCTTTGTGATTGGGTCTGATGAATCTTTATGACCGGATTGATTATCCAAAATATTTTTTCAATAGTATTTTAGTTTCGCAATCAACCGATTTAATTCATCCGCACTCAGATTTCCGGGGGTAAAGCGTTTCGAGAGATCTATCCAACTTTTTCTACTTCTAAGACAAAAATCGCCAATAATGCCGATTTCCTGAGCGACCGTCGGGCAATTAATTTCTTTACGCTTGGAAAATCCTCGCTTTCCTGCTGTGCTTAGCATATCTATCTGCAACTCCTATGTATACCGATTCGATAAAGCACTACTGCACCTTAATCGAAGGACAAGTGGACAAGAATTGGAACGCGGACTGCGTGTCTTCGATGGTTGTGACGTCACAGTGGTGGTTAATGTAATTAAGATTACAAAATTGGTTAAGCGTAGTCGATAACGATAGTAACGATACAAATTATGTCGCCGACATCGATACATTTCCGATACCAACTAGAAACGCCGATACCGATATTTGGAAAAAGTCGATATACCGATAACGATACCATGTACTATAATTATTACCTCAAGTGTGTAGATAGACGGGTTAAAACAGTAGTCTTTGAGCATTCTAGCACAAGACTTTATTGATGTAATGCAAAAAATATCAAAATTTAAAAAAATTCCAATTTGGGGAACATATAATAAATTAGAGAAAAACATTTTTGGGGTGATATATGCAATTTTCGGTAGTCTTTTACAAACAATACCGTTGAATGCATAATGTTTTTGTTTTCCGAAGTAAGATTCTGGAATAAAAAAAAACTTGGGACTCGTGGGGACATATATAAAATTTAATTCCGATCTGGAACATTAGTTTGTATAATAAATAAACCAAAATCTCATCTCGGTGACCTCATGACACGCGCGCTTCATATGACATCGTGTTAAATTAGTGACAGAATTAGTTTTATAATTTATCTTCTTGCAGAATTGGATGCTGGAAATTGGCGGCCAGGGTAACCCAGGTGAATTTGCTGACTGGATGATCAGAGTTGCAGCGTGGATAGCATTTGGATGCATTTTCAGCATGGTAATCCAGGGGTGGGATTGTGAATAACTGCAATATTTTGTTATTTAGGATTTTTATGTAAATGTAACACATCGAACCTTTCAAAGTAAAAGTGATTATTCATATAGAAAACGACAATTTACAGAAAGTAGATTTGTATAGATTGCAAATTGCAATATTAGTAAAATGCAAAAAATTATTATGTGAATGGCATTCGAAATTTAAGAAAATAGCCAAAACTTTATGTTCAGAGTTTCCCAAACTTCTTGGGCCACGAACCCATGTTTATGAATCTAATTTTGATGGAACCCCGTTCTATGCCGTATCAATTTAAGTGCCTTACCAACAAGAGGGGGGAAGGGGGTGTTCATGTTTCAAATTTTGTTATCAGTGATAAAATTTATTTACTAATTAGTCTTGAAATTTAGGGGGGGTTCGGGGGTAGGGAGATCACTGCTGGCAATGGATATTTTGGGACTGAATAAAAATGGCCACTTTGAACAAGATGATCCATACGCACTTGCTCAAACCTCGTTGTAGTTCAAACAAGGAGTAAATTATATTTCTTGTGATGTTTGCAAATAATATTATACTGGCAATGGTTTTGATGGAACCAAAATAAGATTTAAGCTTGAATGACTCATTCCCAGCATTAAGAATCATTCAATTCATCGTTTGTGGTGTCTATTAGTCATAGAGATCGACTCCGATATCTGCAATTGATGCTTTAAATCTTTCCAACTGATCAAGGTTGGGGTAGCATCTCCGCATTCCCAATTTTTCAACCTGACATTGATAAACAATTTCACTGATTGTAGATAATCCTTCATCTTTGAGTCTGCTGATGTCGTTCATACTCAGATCCAGCAACTTTATCTAGAAACATCAAATTTTAAAATCATGACGCAACGCAGTTATAAAACATATATTACAAGTTACGAAACATAATAAACTTCACATACAACAAGGATATGGACAAAATTGATCACAGTGACAGCTGGAACTTATTTTATATATTTTTTTAACTACAACGATGTACATGGTAAATTGCATTGCATCATTTTTTTTTCGCTGTAATGCTCAAAATTATCTTGTGGTTACTCAAAAGGTCGAGTCACCTCGAGTTTTTAAAAAATTTGACTCGAGTCAATAACATAATTCCTTCAAGTCATGCATGAACAACCAATCGTCTGATAAATCATTTTTCAGTTCAGATTCACACTATTTACTCATCCATGCACACGCACTGAATTGAAAGTATTTACCCTACCTTTGCATTACGAGTGTTTTCTTTAAATGCTTTCATTCCTTCTGTAGTCAGATAGCAATCCGCGGCACTGAATACCTCCACATGACATTGTGAAACAACTATTCCAAGTTCACCAAAACCAGCAGTTCCAAGGGTATCATTGAAACTGACATCTAGTTCATTCAGCTGAAACAAATATAAACTGTTAGATTATTTAGAATGGTGAGAAAGTGAACCAAATTATGAGTTACACTGTTCTGAAGTTTCTCGTTGCAACTACATGGATTAAATAAAAATTGTGAGGTGATAACCTTAGATATATCCAGTGGCGCAGCCAGGGGGGGGGGGGGGGGGGGGGAGGCTGGGGTTCGACCCCGAATTTTGAATTTTCTGAAAAGTGAAAAAGTTGCCGATAACACGTGCAATTGCCTTCTGCTAAAATCGCCGTTCGTTTCCATCAACGCGGCATGTTATTTATGCCATGAACGCCCTATACATTGGTGTTTGTTCTCTTTAAATCACACATTTGTGCCGCGGGAACAATGATAATTATTTTATTTTTGTACCCGACTACCCGCGCGGAAATGTGAAAACTGAAAAAGCGTGCAATTGCCTTCTGCTAAAATCGCCCATGTTTTCATCAGCGTGTTATTTAGGCCGTAAACGCCCTTACGTCGGTTTTTATTCTTTCTAAATCATAAATTTGTGCCACGATAAACATGACAATTATTTGATTTTTGTACTTTGCACGGAATTGTGAATTCGTGAGTTATTATACGTTCATCGGTGGCGAGGTTCTAAAGACAAAAGAAGGAGTAAAACCGCGATCTAAATTTGATTAAAAAGCGGCATTACAAAATACTGAAAATAAAACTGTAAACAATAGAAGTTTTGTTGAGTCCGCGACAGTCTAAAAACGCTTTTCTAGTCGCAAAATTTCGTGTGCCCACGGCGCACATTATGTTTGGTCAACGTTTAGGAACATACCGTCACTAAAATCGAAACATGGTTAATTGTGGGTGGGATTTGCCTTTTATCCATTACTTTAAAATTGTCGTAGAAAATTTTCGTGTTATCATTAAACAAGGTTGAAAACGCGATTTTTTTCCCGGTTTGTGATGATATAGAAGATAATAAATCCGAAGTATATCCATCAATTTTTATTGTACTGAAATGAATTTTACTCCATGAGAATTTACAGCAGATTTACGGATCTTTCAGGTTTTATCTTTAAAAATAATCGGAGTGTCAGCATTGCGATTGAACGGAGTCGATGTTACAAGCACATCTCAAATTTGTTGAATTTGCAAAATAGAAAAAATACTGATCAAAACAATATATGATAGGCGACGGGCAGTTACCACAAATTTTTATTTTTATGTCGGCAAATGGCCGAGGTATTTTAAAATTGTGAATTGTAAAAAATTGTTTTGTTTCGTCGACGCAAACGCTGGTTAAATTGAAGACAATTAAATTAATAAAGCAAGACATTTTAAATATGCCCTTATCGGTCACGAATTGATTACTTTGCACAACAGAAAAATCATTTTTCGTTGTAAACATCGGCTCTTTTAACAAGTGGCCTAATCGCGGCGATGAATATGTATTTTTGATTTAACGATATACTTCATATGCATTTTCATTGTACGAAATAAAATTGTACTTTTCGGGATTTTATATCAGTTATTAAGACTTTTCTAACGGCGATAACGAGTTGGCAAGATTCCAAAAATACACCGTTTATCTCATATTTTTATGTCCACCGATCGCCGTGTCATTTCAGAGAACTAATGTTTTAATTTTGACGTAAGAAGAAGCAACCGCGAGTTACGTTGGACACAATTAAACTATTATATAAAGACATTTTAGAATTTTGTAGTTGTCAGAGATTGAATATTTCACGCGACAAGAATAATCATTATACACTGAAAAGACGTCCCTTTAACGAGCGCGTAATGCGAAGACTGTTACAGACCGCAATGAGAATTTAGGATTATGAACCCCCCCCCCCTTTTGAAAATCCTTGCTGCGCGCCTGGATATATTGATAAAGCCGGATAAGCTAGGTTGGTGTATGTTATTTTATCTGATTCAGTTGGCGCCATTAGTAATCCATTGGAAATGCTTTTTACCAACATTTAATCTTATAGTTTTGTCTCAGATTATTACCTGATACTGCAGACAGCTAATTGCTCATCAGATTCATTCTAAATCTAAAGTTCTAAACCAAAAAATTGAATCCCGAATCAAGCTTTGATAAGAGTTCAACAAGCACAGTTGAAAAACATGTGTCTGTGAGATGCCACAGTATATATAGATTGTTGGTACAAGTAAAGTTCTAAAATTATTGATCGAAAAATATTTTAAAAATGTAAGCAAATGCCAAGATCTCTGAGTTTAATTGTTTTTTTTATGCCTTCTTTCACCCTGAAATAACAATTTTACGTTTTCTTTATATTTTTCATGTAAAGTATATTTTTAGTATGATTATAAAATAACGATAACTGACTATAACTAGGATAGAATCATTTCCATCACCCAGTTGTTATTATTGTGGTTTGTGAATAGATTTTGGCACAGTCACCAACGCATAATTCTTGCTCTAATTGTTTTTGTACTTTTTCCCACCTACGCTCACAAAAGTTATTAACAAATAAGCTTCGCCAGGGAGTTTTTTTGTACATACAAGCTGTTTATGTTTTTATTCTTTTCAGTAAAATTATTGTGTATTACACATTTCTTGAATTTGAGAATTTTACCATTTAAATTTGAAAATTTCATACTGATATTTTTGGTGGTTTACAGACTTTTTTGACGGTTTACAGTCTTTTAAGACCACTAGGTAAAAAATACGAGTTCAATAATCATAATATACAAAATACTTGTGGATTTACAAGCATTTTGGTATAGTTATCACAGCAGCGGCACCAGTACACTTCCATAATGCCGAACCATAACGCTAACATGAATAAAAATGTCTGACATACATGAAATGGTTATTACATTCTACGGGACAGAGATACAACTTTTAACAATATAATTTTCAATTTCGGGACGTAATGGAAATAAATATAAAATAAGAAGCCTTGCAAGGAAATGGCGGCAATGTCCACCACGCAACCATGCAAATGTTCTGCAACAAGATGAGGCGCAGGGTGGCACAGAAGATAAACAATCGATGTTTTAAAGTGGCTATTATTCGAAAATCAGCTGAAAAAGTATTCCAATACTTTGATATTCTTGACTTATGAATCGTAGGGCCGGCTTATATGTGAATTTTTATAAAATCGCCGTTTTGAGACCGTTTCTAGGGAGCCGGCTTATATATGCGGTAAGAGTAGTATACTAAAAAAAACTTGTTCATCCATAAAATTTGGCCTCATCCCAAATTCCAACCAAGGTGATTTTTTGCTACTGCTACTATGGAGAAAGAAAAGCTGGTCTGGAAATTTATTAATAACTAAAAGGAACTTCGATTTAACATTGAAGCTTTGCATAGAGCAATAATTTATAAAAAATAATCCTTATTGATAGAAGAATGAGCCTAAAATAATAATTTATTTTCTCTGGATTTTTTCAGTAAATTATATACCTCACAACCAGCATTTAAAATTTTAATATAATATTTCAATCACACTCCACTAAGCTTGGAATTTTATGTTTACCTTCAAACAGGAACCTTTAAGATTTGAAGTCAGGATATGAACCAACTCGTCATTAAGACTACAGCCACAAAGACAAACAATATCTAGTTGGTTGCAGCGTCGCATAACTGATGACATGGCGTGCATTCCTACTGTTGTGATGGATTCAAATTTAAAATTGATTTCCTTGATGCAAGAATGAATAAGTTCGATGTCGTTTGCTTCGTATAATGTTCCAAATAGATCCAACTTATGACACGATTTCATTTTTTGACTTGACTTAGATGTGAGAAATTCTCTTACAAATCTTATCTTCTCATCTTGTCTGGCACCTGAAAAGTTTAAAATTGTTCTTAGTTTGGGTTCAGAGCAACATTTTCCTGAAACTGATTACCCTATGTAAAAGACATGGGTCTGATTCGGTGGGGATAATTATGAGCACAAGGCATAATTGGACTTCTAAGAGTTATAGACTGAAATCAAAAGTAACTGCTGTTCAATCACGATTTGATCTTTCACCAATCTGGAGGGCAAACTAATTAAAAATTGATATAAAAGGCATACAATATTACTTACCAGAGGAAAGATTTGCTATGAGACTGCTTTCAATATCAGGATTCAGAATAATTCCACTTAGAAAATGACGAACAACTGCCCAATGATCGTAATCCATCTCAGTTTCTATAAAGGCGCGAAACGCAGTGGAATCCATGTTTGAAATATAGAGAGCGGATAAAACTTCTTGAAGAATTTGTAAATAGCCCCAAACTAAGGCACACAAATAATTGACAACCTCGAGTTGCAACAAGAAATTCTATTATCTCCACTCTCGCCAAAAACACCTTTTCACATACAGTGCTACATTGCAAGAAAAACGTTTTAACTCAAGAGAATAAAAGAAACAAAGAAATTGAGCAAGACTGGTATTGCATCATCATTGGCAAGGCGCCAACCTTTTTCTTAGTGTCTCTCCTTTTACTAAATAGGAGAGAACTTATTTCTTTAACATGTTATAAACAAACTTGGACTTGCAAAGTGATGTGCAATTAAGTATGGCCCTGGAAAGTTATTTATAAGTGATAACACATTAACATATTCCCCAGTTTTTCTTTTTAAATTAAAATTGACCATTACATAAAATGTCCACAAGTTTTGATGATGATACTCCACTCTTTGTTAGGGTATCTGCCAGCTGTAGTTTTCCTTCAACCCAGTAAACATTTGAAACCTCCTTGTTTTTGATCATTTCTTTCACAATTGCAATATCCACTCGTAGTCTCTTATCTTGAACCTGTTTATTTGATTTAATCGCCTCGTATAAAGAAAGATTGTCAATCACCAATTCGATAGGTAGCTTTTCATCATTGATGTCACCATTCCAAATTTCAGCAAACAATGAAGCCACAAACGCTGCTGTGTCAATGCCATTTGATAATGCCAAAGTTTCAGCTGCTAAAGAGCTCTTGACAACTCGACGGATGCGTTTTGATTCCCAGCTTAGTAAATTGCAGTATCCACTTTCTCCTACCAGAAATACAAGACTTCCAGATTGGCTGCCTCCATCATTCAGACTTGCAAATGATGCATCAGTGTAACAGACAAGATTTAGATTTTCATTCGGTCCTAGATTTTGAAATTTCAAGCTGAATGGGTTTGACTTCAATTTGCGCAAGACTTTGTTTGCAAGAAACAAATCTCTCACAGTCGCATTTTTGAAATTGGTTGCCAGAATACATACATCATATGCAATGTCCGGTCTTGTTTGGCCACTGACCCATAAAAATTGTCCAATTTTTGATCTCAATTCATCTCGCTCTTTGATTGTAACTGAATCATCACTATTTCGCCCAGAATGTATCTTTATCGGAGTCAAATTTGAAATATATTCGGTTTGATTGAGCAAAACTTCATTTTTGTCATGGTCAATCTCAATTCCAATATACTTGAAGCTTTTAGATTCTTCATTCCCAATTTTGAATGTCTCGCGCAGCTTGGGTAGCACACTCTGTTGAAATTTTACTGTTCCGGCCCATAGAAAGTCGTCAACATGAACTGCAATTATTCCCTGCAATGATTTTGCTTCATGCCAGCAGAACACTGCAGGATCATTCTTTGTCATTTTCCCTTTATTTTCCAACATAAAACGCTTTACCCTACCATACCACTGCAGGGAAGCATCTGTAAGGCCGTAGACACACTTTTTGAGTCTCCAAATTTTTCCTGGCATACATTTAGCTTCTCTAGGAGGAATGAGGTATACATTCCGCTGCAGTTTCTCTCCTTGCAGAAAGGCAGTTTTTATATCTATGCTCTGCAATCTCCAACCTTTTTGAGCTGTGATGGCAATCACAGTACGCAAAGCATCTTTGCTGCAAGTGGGTGAATCTTTCTCCACATTATCAATGTCAGGATCCTCAAAACCACGAGCTACAAGTCTTGCTTTTGGTAATATTCCTTTGTCTGTATTCTTTAGGGAACACACCCACTTCACAGATATGCATTTTTGGCCTTCATTTGCACACTCATCAAACACATCATTTTCTTGCCAGCTTTGCAGTTCTTTTGCTTTAGCTTCATCAAAATCAATATCTTCCGTGACGAATACATGACTTTCTTTTCTGACATTATTTAGAACCATGGATTCTTGTTGAGGTGGTATCACTTGCAGTTCTTGAACCTGATCAAAATCAACACAGTGCTTCACACCAGAAAGATGTGAAGGTGATTTATATTCAACATTAAAACAATTCCGATATTTGCCAGTTGCCTTTCCTGCCCTGTTTAAGATTTCTGCTTCACACAAAATTCCATCATTTTTAAATGTAACCATTTGATTCTTCTTGAGAACCATGTTGTGGACCTGATCATAGCTTGGTTCTTCATTACAACTCTGGCAAGGAATATGAGCTTGTTCTTCAGATGAATCCGGATGCCTTTCTTGCAGTGTTTCAGGCAAAGCTGTTTCCTCAACTTGTGAAATTTCAGTTTTTTCATAATCAGTATCATTTGAAATCTCGCTCTGTTGTTCGTCAATTTGACGGGAGACATGATTGAGCGAGTTGTTGTTCTGCTTCAATTTCTGGACTCTGCTTGTATGTGCCCTTATGAGTTGTCCACCATGCCGCAAGAATACCAACACACCATCTTTTCCTAAAACTCGTCCTGGTCCCTTCCATTCATTGCTGTCATTCCTTTTATAGTAGACATCTTCCCCAATTTCAAAATTGCCACTATATGGTCGTGTGTTGCTTCGCAATGCCCTTCTTATTCTTTGTGACGATTCTGCCTCGATGAATGCTTTTCTTGAGGCATGCAATGTGTTGATATGTTCACCAACTTTTTCACTGATTGTTTTTCCTTCCAGGGCAGGTAGATCATCTTTCATCACAGATGGCAGGTTTATATTTCTTCCAAACATAATCTGGGTTGGACTGAATCCACTGTTGTTAACCAGTGAATTCTTTGCACAAACTGACCAAGCAAGTGCTGTCTCCCAGTTGCATTGAACATCTTTCTTGATCTTTATAAGAATATTTGTGAGTATTTGATTATGACGCTCACACACACCATTTGACCATGGTGAATAGGCGGGTGTTGTCTTTACAGAGATGTTGAAGTTTTCGCACATATCACGAAATTCCTCATTATTAAATTCTCCACCGTTGTCGGAAATTACCCTGCGTGGTGCACCAAAAATGCTCACCCAGAACTGCAAAAACTTTTGAATGATTATTTTTGGTGATTTTGAGTGAATCAATGCAGCGTTACTATATCTAGAAAACTCATCAATGACATGTAAATACCAAAGGCTTGGTCCAAGCTGATGCAAATCAAGAGCCACAGTTTCGTTTACTTCATTAGATCGAGGCAAACCGACCACTGGTCTAGGAGGTGCTCTTTTATGCAACAAACAAATTTCGCATTCATTTGTCACCTCTCGAATGATTGATGTTATGTCAGAACTCAAGCTCTTGTTTCCAGTCTTAATTAGTCGAATCAGATTATCTTCAGAAGCATGGCCGAATTGTTTGTGTAATTTCAAAATTTCTTTTCTCATTTCTTTATCGGACTTTGTATAAATTGATGAAGTGAACACATCTTTTCTGTCTCTTTGTTGAATCTTTGAAGCCTGACAAGGATGTATATCAATACAATAATGTCCATTTGTGGTAAACTGGAGCTCAACAGGCTTTCCCAGCATAATTGCTTCATCATTTTCAAGATTAATTGTTGTCCCTGCTTTTTTCAGTGTTGACTTACTTAACAGCAGAGGCAATTTATCTTTCACCACGTCAGCCTTAATGTAGCATAACGCACCTGAAATGATAGCTGGAAGCATAACACTCTTGGTGGAAATTACTTCTCTCCCATCTCCGAACTTGAAACCAGTTCCACCCTTCTGGATCTTGACAGACTTCTTGAAGTTGTCATCCAATTTGTCAACATAGTCACTGAACCAGCTCTCACCACAGACAGTCTTTGTGCATGCAGTATCGAGAATAGCACAACCAGATGTTTCTGTAACATAAATTTCATTGTCTTGACATTCGGTAAGAAAAATAGCATTCACAAACTCCATCGGATTTTCAACAACTTCTTCATCACTATCTGGTTGACATTTTGAAGGGCGAGGATCATCGATTCCTTCGGCTACATGTACGCTTTTGTGCCTGGGGTTATGAGGACATTTGTCAGCCCAGTGCATTTTTGAGTCGCACACAGCGCATCTGGATATCTCTCCAAGTTTATTCTTTGGATTGTACTGTTTATTTTTCATGTCAGGTTTGAAAAACTGTCTTTGGCCGAAATACTTTCTGTTTGCATAATATGCCTCTGCCTTTATGTTGATTGCCTTCGCATTTTCATCATCATTTTCATTTCCAAGAGGTTTGCTTGGAAAAATCCTTTTTAGAGCTGACTTCATTGTATCGTATTTCATATCGCTCGCAAGAGTGAATGCAAGCTGTCTTTCTGAAGATTGAATTTTTGCTGCATCGATAAGTTTAAAAGCCAAAATTGAATCTGGGAGTTCCATCTTATGTTCACTCATTTTGTGGTATCGATGTTCAAATTCAACAATGAAATCGTTCATTCCCACATCGCACAATTTTTCAAAACAGTTAAACCTTGCATAAGCTTCATAAGCATCATCAACCTGGTCTTTCTTAAAAACCGTATCCAACTTATTAAGCAAAGTCTTCATGCCATTTTCTGTATGTAGCTGATCAGCATTAAACTCAGAAGCAGCTTTTTCAGCTCTATTATTGCCCTCAAATGCAGTCAGAAGCACAATTATAGCTTGCTCCTTTTTGGCATATCCGGTTACAAGAGTCCACATTTCAAGTTTATTCTTCCAATTTGCATAAGATATTCCATCATGGAATTTTGGAGGATTTTGTCTTGTACTCACATTTTGAATTGAACTAGGTACACTCACACTTGAGCTAGGATTTCCACTTGGACTGTCAGTAGACATCTTATATAATATATATTCTTCAGCAAAATATTAAAAGCAGGGAACCATCCTCTGCTACCATGTAAATAGCCCCAAACTAAGGCACACAAATAATTGACAACCTCGAGTTGCAACAAGAAATTCTATTATCTCCACTCTCGCCAAAAACACCTTTTCACATACAGTGCTACATTGCAAGAAAAACGTTTTAACTCAAGAGAATAAAAGAAACAAAGAAATTGAGCAAGACTGGTATTGCATCATCATTGGCAAGGCGCCAACCTTTTTCTTAGTGTCTCTCCTTTTACTAAATAGGAGAAACTTATTTCTTTAACATGTTATAAACAAACTTGGACTTGCAAAGTGATGTGCAATTAAGTATGGCCCTGGAAAGTTATTTATAAGTGATAACACATTAACAGAATTTGGTGACTAAAGAACATTAGATGGTCACCTTCCATGAGATGCTGGTTGAACATGTTTTTCCCAGGAACTTTGATGATAAAATCATGAACATCATTGGGATCAAGTTCGACTTTTTCAAGATCATGGATTGTGAATATGACTCGCCTATCTTTTGTGCCTTCGAACGACATTAGCATCAATTTTCTGAGTTTGTTTTCAATCTGTTTTTTTTCATGAGTGTGATCGGATCGCATGAAGATGTGGAGGATTTGTAGCAATACCCCAGTCATGGTATCTGGGTTGTTCTTACAGCCGATTGCATTGAAAATTAGGAAAAGAGGAACAGATGATAACGGAATAAGTGCGGGCGACTGCATTGTTAGTTTCTCCCAAGCTTTTTCTCCGCCGTCTCCCATAACTGCAATGAACAAACGCTTGATGTCATCTCGAGCCAGACCAGCAAGGGCAGTTATAAATTGTGGCCTCAATTCTGATGGAAGTGATGCCAATCTGTGCTCACGTGAAGAAATCACGATCGTCATTCTGGGAAAGAGATTGCCGGTTAAGAGATTGTACATGGATGTTGCTGTGCTAGATTTATCGGTATACTTCATCTTGTTATGTTTTCCAAGAATACACCAAGTTGCTTGATCAAGGCCGTCAAGAAAAAGAATGGTCTTTGATTGATTTTCATGTAGCCATTCATAGCCTTCTTCCTTATCTTGTGACGAGAGTCTCGAAGCTATTTTTCCAAAAAGTAATTCACATGGGCTAATGGCTTCATCTCTGGAAGTTCCTTTTAAAATTGGAATATCTTTGATATTCAAGTGATGAATAAATTTAAAGCAACGTTTCATTTTTTTGAGTTTTTTTGAAAGAGAAAACGATCCATGACTGACTTGAGCTTGTTGGACTAATTCATTGACAACTAGAAGGATTTGAGCAAGACGTTTTAAAATTGTTGTCTTTCCACACCCTGGCTGCCCGATTATTGCAATGCGTGTATACCTCTTGTTAGTTAATTGTTTTACGAGATCATCCAGAGATATAGGTTTTCCAACTTTTTCTTCATTTGCTTTAACGGTGAATTCAGACTTGATATTGTATTCCGCAACCTTGGGGGCCATTTCTCCCAGGTAGAATCGTGACACTTTTCTAAGTTGTGGATTTACTTCAAAGTCTGGTTCGCTCAAGTTTTGCAGTTTGTAATTTTCTGTGATGTTCACTTTTGTTTGCTCCCAGGTTCTCTCGTTGAAATAGTTGATGAATTTTATTGAATACACAATTTTTTTTCCTTTTGTCGTTTTTCCATATCCTTTTCCTCTACACTTTCCTAAACAAGATTTGAATGCATTTAATATATAAGGTAAATAATGTTTTTGACAATAAATTTTCATTATATACAGACAGGTTATACCATAGCTGCCAATAAAACGAGGTATTTTGTCAATGTTTCGAATGTGGGGGAAAGTCAATACCAAATAATTCACTATTTTGAAATAAATTCAAAAATAAATTCCATTAAAAAAACTTAGGTGGAGATATTTGTATACAATAAACAATGGAATAACTGTTATCTACAACCTGGCTATTTACCAGACATTTTGCCACCATATTTTAGAATAGTCATGATTTTATTTCACAAAAATATGAAATAAAAATTAATTACAATCAGGCACTTTACTATACAATTTATGTCCACATATTTTAGATTTTAGCATAGTAATATTTTCGTAAGTACAAAAATAGGAATCAAAAATTAATTTTAATAGAACAGTTTACCACAAATTTTATGTCCGCAGATTGCCACGGTATTTCGGAGTAGTAATGCTTTTATTTTTCGTTAATTGACGCAACCATGAGCTACGATAAACAGAACTAAATTAATCCGGTAACTGATGAGGCAATTTAAATTCTGGTATTGTTCATGGATTTAAATATTTTGCGCAATAGAAAATCATCCTAGTAAAAAGTAAATACTTTCAACTATTATTATCAAAATTATTTGCCAAAAAGCGAGAAAAAGTATAAATTATGTCTCATAATAAATCAACCTTTTTTTTCGGCTTGCGGCAATTTCAAATCACACCGAACTGGAGACCTCTAAATCAAATTGAATATTGGAAATTGATTATATTATATTCAGTAAATTTATGACTTGTCGCTTGTTTGAAGAGATAAAAATTGTCGTTAATAATAGCAAATAAATTTCTAGGTTTTGTAACACTCTACCAGACTTTGTTCGAGCCTATTTTACCCTATTGCAAATAACCTCTAATTCTGTGGTTCTCAGCCGCCGGTCCGCGGCAACCTTGCTGAAAGTCCGCCAAATATATTCCAATATAAATATATTATAAGCAAATTGCAAAATATAAAATATTGACGGCATTTCTATTAATATTGTGATTTTTTTCCAACTCTCATTTATCCGTAGTACCGGTGTTCGCCCAACAACCAAACTTGGTGAGAGGTGCTCTGTCCATCCAAGCCCTAAATAGCTGGATGCTCATTAATAAGTCTATGACCTCATAACGGCGGCTAACGTCATAACGGAGTAGTTTGATAGCACATAGTACGGTACCTCGTACCTGATTGAGAACTTTGCAGTTCGCACGGTTCGTAATTTGACAGTAGGCCTATAATTCAGCGACGTTTGATAGTAAAATGGAGGCAATCAAATAAAAAAGTTTTATCCAGTTCAAACAGCTCTACTTCGCCTTGCAGAAACTTCATCAGAACTGCGTATAACACATATAATTAGGGCCCGACCAATCGGCCGGGTTTTTCACAAATTTCAAACTATCGGTATCGGCTAATTTTACTGATATATATCGGCCAATCACATGACTGCCAAAATGTCAAATTCATGCCGGGAAATCAGTTTTATCGCTTGTTTGATCGAGAGCGGTTCTGTCTAATACTCTTTTTACTTGTTACTTCTATTTCTCTCTTATCAAAAAGAGGCTTTTTGACTACGTCTCTTTTTTCCAAAACAGACGTAGGGCACGTGATTTAACACTTTGTAAGCAAGTTTGCGAGCATGCTGGCTTGCAAATTGAAACGAGAAAAACATGTGAACCCTTTATTTGTGTCAAATAATATACATTGACTAATAAAGAATTCTTTTGACTATGTCTCTCTTATCCAAAACGACTTATTTGTGTTAAATAATATGCGTTGATTAATAAAGAATTCTCGCCGTTTCCACTTTCCGCCTTTGATTTTACCTTGCGCTTTCGTTGTTCAAGGTGCGATTTAACTTCTTGTATTGATATGTTATAGATGGCTGGTTCAAGCGGCAAGAGCAAAATATGGGGATAATTTGTGTGCCATAATGATGGCGTAATTTGTAAAATATGCTTATCATTATTAGGTCAAAAAGTTAAAAAAAAAAACAGTATTTGTAAAGCCATCTCAAAGCAAAACACAAGAGCAAGTATGATTGGAGCCAATGCAGAAAAGCATTGGAGCCAATGCAGAAAAGCATTGGAGCTAATACAGAAAAACTCTGCTCAACCACATCTGAGACTGTTAAACTGGAGCTATTGAGATTCATAAGCTTCCTTCTCTTATAATAAGTGTTCTTTCCTGCCACGCACAAAATTTACTTCGGCCATGTGGCTTTACACTAATAATTTTCAACATAAGGCATTGAAAATCGCTAAACTTAGATTCACAAATAAAGGAGTAAATGTAATTTTTATGCAATTTTTTGTCATCATTGCATGAGTTAAACATTTTGTTATAGATTTCATTTCTTTTGCGAAAAAAACACAATATTCTCCAAGTGTTGCTTGTAGCCATCTTTTTAGGTGAGGAAACATCGGTATTGGCTTATCGGCCTAGTTTTAGAAAAGTATCGGTATCGGTTTGAAAAGATCCTACATATAATGTACGTCGGGTCGGGCCCTACATATAATATCAGAAAATACAGCCATGTTTAATGTCCCAGTTCCTAACTTATTAGTTATAATATAATGTAGCAAGTGTATTTAACAACTCCTCGAAACGAGAATATCGGTCAGAGACCGAAGACTTATCGATCGAAAGTTAAGGGATCCCCCAAAACAGCGCTCTTACTCCATAGTGACACCTTGTGTCTCATCACTAATTAATTAATTAACTCGCTAATAATACGACGTAATTCGCCCAAAGTCAATAGGCTTCTGGTCCCAGATATGATGAATGCACATGCAAAATCTTGAGCAGATTTAATCTCGCTTTCGTGAGATATCGCGTGCATCTAACAGACATACATACAGACAGACAAAAACCTATCAACATACTTAATTAAAATCGATAAGTAATAAATCAGAGCATGCTGGTGAACCAGAATTGTTTATTATATTGTTGCTTTAATTCGATTTCACATATCTCGCATTGAACTATTATGAGTCAGGTGAAAAGGCAGTGAGCCAGTGATATAGCAAAATATTTTGTATTGTATTTCGAATGTTCACTATGTGTCCAATAAATATCATTTTACACTTACCTGATGGTGAGGGCACCACTTCATAGACTGGACAAGGAAAATCATTTAAGGCAAGTTTGGCATCGGTGGATCCCTTCATTCTTTGAGCTCTCGCAGTTTCACCTGAGGTAAATTTTAAAATAAAAAACTGAAATACTTATTTAAATTAAAACTCATTCGGATGATATTTTTGGTCAAATTTGAAAAAAACATTTGCAAGATAGTGTTAAGACATGGAGTGTTCAGAATGGCTCGTTTAAAAGGAAATAACTTTTCCAAATGTTAGTAGCCTGTTTGAATCCGCCCATCTTGTATAGAAGGGGTGGCCAACCTGCTTTCGACCGCAATCGACAAAACAACTCGCTATCGACTAATCGATAATAAGGTCATACACAAAAACGAACGAGTACAGAATATGCAGATAACTGCACACACACATACAAAAAATACCGCTGCATGAAACTGGTTCAAGGCAATTTTTTGAGGTGATATATTAAATTCACTCATCATCAGACATGATCGACTACTCGAGACATGGCGATCGACTGGTCGATCACGATCGAGATGTTGGCCACCCCTGTTGTATAGAATGGGCATAGTTTGTTAGGAATGATGAAAATCCTTTCCAAGGGTCATAATGTTTAGATGGGGAATAGCCTTTTTGAAAGGGCCAAGTTTGCCGAGATGAAGTTTCCTTAAACAGAGTAAAGATCTTTTTCCAAGGCCAGGACTTGCAAACTATGACCCATTTTTATTTAGAAATGGCGTGGCAGTGTGGCTCATTGTGCTAAGTGTTAGGAATACGCTCGCCACCGTACCTCTAATTACTCTGCGTGGGTTCGCAGGTTCGAATCCCATGCGGGATGGTTATGTGCGAGAGGATTGCTGGACTCCTCGCCGCCGTTGGGTGGTTCACGTAACCACTGGTCGTAACCATCAAGTCCATGCTTCGGAAAAATAAATACCTAACTAATCCCATACCCGACATGGAATGGTAACCGGACGAGAGGCCGTGGTTCGCCATATGGTTAAGCCGTCAAATCAACTTTCCTCTCCCCCGGGATAAATATGTAAATCTTATCCTAAAACGGGTTGACACAGATTTAAAATTGGGTGCTTTGAAAATTGTCAGAAGGTCCATAGCACAAATTTTTCCAAGCATTAGAAATACGTTTGACACTCCACCTCTAATCATCCTACATGGGTTCAAATCTAGTGAGGGACAATTATGTGCAAGAACATTTCTGGGCCTCTCGTTGCCGTAGGGTGTTCTATGTAATCAGTGTTCGGTGCTGGCTAACTAATCCATACCCAACATGGACTGGTAACCAGACGAGAGACCATGGTTTAACATATAATGATGACATTTTATCATATTTCTTCCCTCTCGGTATAAATATGTAAATCCTATCCTGCCATTTACCTAAGAGCCATATAGAGCGTACGCAGCAGGGGTTCCCAAGTTTTTTTAGTACGACCCCAAACACAACTTTCAAGTGTTCAGTGCGACCCCAAGTCAATATATATATTTTTCGTGAAACTTTAGAGCTTCTTTTACTGGACTTTTAAGTTTGGTCATGTGGTGGTATTGAGTAAAATAAGCTACAACAAAACAGTGATGTCACAATAAGCACCTACATTTTTTATAGCATAAGCAGAGCGATGCCTATGGACCTGTTTTACAGTAAGTAAGCCATGCTACAAACTGCTAAATTAACATGGTTTGTCAAATCTTAGATGATTTGTACATCCATCCTCTACCATACCTCAGCTACCCCATGACCTATTTGCGACCCTACCTATTTATCACTCCGACCCAATTTGGGGTCGCGACCCCTGGTTTGGGAACCCTTGGTATACAGGATAAAAAATATTAGTCTTCTCAATAAGCTCATTAGAACAAGCATGACTGTTTTAACTAAGTTAAATTGAGTTTTAAAAACTGTCTCCAACCAGGCAAAAGTTCAAATCATTTTTCATAAACTTTTGAATGAATGGTCGTAATTTTGCTTTAGATTTATTTCCTATAAAAATACTTGATAAGATTCTTAATTCATACCTGAAGTGGACGGTATTTCCTCTCGTGCAGTACCGGGAGAAGGTTCATCAGCTTGTACTTGAGCTTGTGGTACAGCTGGAAGGTGTGGGGCTAAAAATAATTAAGTTTGATAGGTTTATGTTGAAACTAATATTGAAAATATTCTGATTCTGGTCTAGAGTTGAAGTCGGATGTTTAACTCAAATAGTAGATCTGTTTTCATGGCTATAGTTTTCATATCAACTGTTAAACGAAACATAAATGTTGTTTACTAGTGGTATGAGATTGGTCTCATTTGAAGGTTTTTTATTAATTTTTTGAAGTTGGTTAAAATTTAATGGTGGATAAGTGTATGTACACAATCTCGATTTTGTATTTTATATAATTTACACAATTTTCTTATTCAAGAATACTGAATAATTATCCACATAGATGGGTGCTTGGTATCAAATAAAGTTTAACTGAACTTTAAACAAACAAACGCTCGTAGTACGACAGTACATCTAAAATTGTTAATCGTTTATGAATATGTAAAGTAACCACTTGTCGCTAGATTACCGGGACTCTCTTATGACTTGGGGGTAGAGCTAAGATCTGAAGCCCGACCCGACCCAAACTTTCGGCTTGAAATGTCAATTATTGCGTACTGGTCAGGCTTGAAATAGGATAGGATAGGATTTACATATTTATCCCGGGGAGAGGAAAGCCGATAAGACGGCTTATCCATATGGCGAACCACGGCCTCTCGTCCGGTTACCATTCCAAGTCGGGTATAGGATTAGTTTTACTGTATTGTTTGTTTTCGGAAGCATGGACTTGGTGGTGGAGGAAGCCGTAACCAACCAGCGGTTACGTGAACCACCCAACGACGGCGAGGAGTCCAGCAATCCTCTCGCACATAATCATCCCTGCATGGGATTCGAACCTGCGAACTCACGCAGAGTAATTAGAGGTGCGGTGGCGAGCGTATTCCTAACGCTTAGCCCGTTGAGCCACACCGCCGCGCCAATCATTGCGTTCGGGTCGGGCTCTATCGCTGACTTTTTTTCAAATAAATATATGTTTATAAAAAATATATACTAGAACTATGTGTGGATACTAAACTAAGGAATACTTGTTATAAAAAAAATAATTTAAATAAAACAGAGAAGAAGCTGAGACACGCATTTTTCAAAGCCTTTTGATGATAATATGTGTGTCGCTAGGGAACTTCTTAGTTTCCCAGTAAAACTGCAATTATAGGCCTACCTCTATCCCCGCATTGTCAAATGGATGTGCAGATTATAGAGCTCACAAAATACAAAAGAAAAAATGTGTCCCAACATTCCCCACTTTCCCCTATAATGTACTAAACTCGTGTCCGTGTCGGGCTGGGACTTTTGGACCCGATCTTACCTCTACTTGGGGGTACCCAACGAGAAAAAGTTCAAACCCTGCTAATGATAAAAAATAACATGAGAAGAATGCTGCGTTTTGACGTTAGAATAATGAACAGTATTTTCATATATAAGAATGATAATTCAACTATCAGTTGGGGCCTCTTCGTGAAACTTCTGTATCCATAATGGATCTAACCGACCCCGAACTCAACAACTACTGTAAGAAATGCATTTACAAATACCACAAAATAGACTTCAACAATTTAAAGAAGATAATTCAACTAGTGCAAAAATAACGGATAGCATATTATTTAAAAAAAGGTGCCAGAGTGAACAAGATTGGTAGGAAATACTAATCGACTGGTAATTTATTGAATATCCGACTTGAAATGTTACCATCACTTCATGTTCTCAATGACAATCTTGTTCAAAAAAGGGAAAATTACCTAAATAAAATTTAACTGAGCCTCACCTTGAATGTTCACAGTGTTAGCTCCCTCTTGTGGTTGGTCTTGATCAGCCATTTTTCAATGTAATCATATGGATATGCTACTGATAACTATTCAAAGTATGTTAATGTTATAATATCTGTTAAACATAAAAGCACAAATTTTGAATAATTTGAGAAAATTAAATATACAAAAACAAAAAAAAGGTTTAGGTCAAACTCAAAAATGATTCATATTCAACCCTACCATGCCTTTCAATTGTATGCTAACAAATGAACAGCAGTGCTTATATAACAGTTCAAAGCTGACAAGTCCACTGTAGGTTCAGATGAAAAGCTTTGAATACTGACAAGATTTCTTGCTTTTACTGTTTTGGAATACTTTATCCTACCGTTACAAGGTCCTTCATGTAGCCATTTTACAGTTTGCGAATTATTTCACAAACCGCATATGTCTCTACAACCAGTCAGCTTTTAACATAGATTGGTAACAGGTTGTGCCTTTTCTCCGGTTAATATGAAAATCTATTTTAATATTGGAATGAAATTCCGTTCTTCCAAGTTGTTTTCCTACAGTATTGTATTGTTATATGTGTTTCAAGTCTCATGTCAGTCACAATCTACTCACATTGGAGTAGATAGGCAAATTGTTGAAAGAGAAGAATTAGAAACTCAAAGAATATTTATCAGTTATAAATCATTCCTATCACACCATGAGTCCAGACAAAATGGAATTTTATGCCCATGTAATTATAGACAACGCCCGTTTGTATACACTCACTATGGTACACCCAGAAGTGGGATTCAGCCGGTTCTATAAAACCGTCTCACGGAATTTTATGAGATCAGCGAACCGGTTAGCATTACATGACTTTTTGTAACAGAACCATCTGAAAATTTGACATTTGTATGATGGAACCGGCTGACAAAAAATTTGAATCCCACCACTGGGTACACCCTACAAATAATGTGACTATGAGATATTACATTTATAATACATAATGCCTATGCCACATCTGTTAATGTTACCTGCTAATATTACAGTACGGCACACTATACAAATTGGGTAACATTGTCCCGTTTCAGAGAAACCCATTTTACAAATGATCAGACACCCCTCCTTTGGGAGACGTCTGGACATTGTTATCCCTAAATATCGGTTATAATACAGTATATTGAAGTTGCGCAAAATACTACAAAAAAGGACAATCTAGTAACGTCATCATTGAATTCTTTGGGAAAAAATAATCCGATTTACCAGGAAAAAATTTTACCGTAGCATTCGAGAGTTTTTAGCAAAAAACGGCAATTTTGGTCATGTGACGGCCGCGATATGAAGCATCGGGGCTCCCGAAGTATGCGAACCAAGATGGCGGACATCGGAATGTAATATGTGTACTAGGTTAGAGTTAGGCCATAATTTTAGGTATAAATACTACGGGAGGCTCTTGGCTAGTCTTCGAACTGATAATAGGACTAAAATAAGGAAAATTGGAAAAAAATTATCGCCTAACCCTAACCTGTTACGTTCCGATGTCCGCCATCTTGGTTTGCATACTTCGGGAGCACCGAAGCATCTGATGTGGTCCCAGACGCCCCTCGTTTGTGAGACACATGGAGTGTTTGTTTCATTAAGCCAAATGGAGGGAAATTCTTGGAATTTGGATAGTGTGCCGTACTGAATTAAGCCAATAATGCTTTATTTCAAGAAGTCTTGTTTTAAAAAGTATCATTTTTATTGTTCTCGTTGAACTTGTATGAATGAGAAGACACTGCCTTTGTTTCTTTCCACTGTGCATATTTAGAACAACTCTAATATATATATACACTCTGTAACACAGTTTTTGTTCTTGGATTCTAATGGGTAAGACCTCTTTTTCTTTTGCTAGTTTAAACCAGATACAAATATACTGAGATTGTGTTAGATATTGATAGGTAATTGTTACTTTAATACTTGGCTTATCAACTATTGACCTCAACAATAAATTTTTCTAGTCATCAAGATAAGGATTTGTGTTTACTTACTTTCCACTTTATCATAATCACACTATTTCTACGGTACAGCATGGTACAGGGCTGCTCAACTGGCGAACCGTGGTCCAAATCCTGACTTTTTTAGTGTTTCATTTGGACCGCAGCTGTTTCTTGACTTTAAATGCATCGTTTGCATTTTTTGCTAATCCACCGAGAAAACTGTCATAGCAATACAAGTTTCTCAGAACATTGACACACTTGTTTGTGGGACAATCAACAAGCTGTTAATAGTAGCGTGAAAACTGAAGCTTTGGCGACTGCTTGGATACATTTTTTATTGGTATGGTATGAGATAAAATAAACTAATGACTGACTGAATAACCCAATTATTGAATATTACACAATGAAAATCACAATATATGCATTGGAGCGAAAAAGACCCGAACTCAGTCGATCGAAATTTTGTGAAATATCAGTTGTTGGCCATGATATCTGGGTTTTGCTCATGTAACTCAATTTGATTTCTGGTCAACCAATAATGACCCCACAAGTATGTTTCGAACGAGTACCGTGACTATAATCTAAAGGTTACGGAATAATTTTTTCGTTGCAGAGTGCAAATGGCAACAGTCTATTTTCAGCTGTCCCGAATATATTGGGTGAAAATACACTCTGATGAACAAAATATATGGTCCGTGTCGCCATTCTGCTAAACTGTTAATACCAGGTAATGAATGGTTCAATCTCATGCAACTTAGTCTTCTGCCGATAGCACCTCTTGCTATTCATCCAGCCGTACACAAAATTCCATTAAGTTTATTGGTATAAAACTTTGGAATATGCTTCCAGTTACCATACGCTCTAAGAGCTATAATACATTTAAAAAAGAATTAAAAAATCTCTACCTCAATGCTTATAACATCCAGTAGGCTAGTCTAATTCACTGGTCATCAATCCTGTTTTTGATGACAATTTTGCTGAATGTGATGTTTTTCTTATTTGATCATATCATTCGTTTCCATTATCATTGAATATTTTCACTAGTCTTACACAAGCCATGATGCCCAAAATCTCCTTGCTGTGTATTACTTGTACTTAATCTCTCATATTGTTGATTCTGTCGCCCAGATTTCGATATGTATTTATACCTCCAAAACCAATTCCCATATTGTGGTTGCTGGGAATTCCCCTTAATTTATCTCCGCAAGGTAGCGTCATGTCAGTCAGAAGCACGAAAGTAATTGTGCAGCAACTTAGATAATTGGTTTACATTGTATGAAAAGGTTTTTTATTGCTCTATTGAATCCAGACTTCGTTCATTCCATGTCAAATTTGCCTTGCGAGCAGTGCCCACTAATGACCTGCTATATAGAATAAATAAAACACAAAATGTACATTTTGTAATATGCATGTTGAAACCGTGTTACATTTATTTTATCTCTGTGAATTTGTGCAGCAATTTTGGGAAATAGTTAACGCTTGGCTAACCGTTGAGTATGGATTAAACTTCAATTTGACACATAGAGAAATGTTATTGGGGGTAGGGCAAAATCAGGGTATAAACTGTGTTTTATTATGTGCCAGATATTTTATATACAAATGTAAACTGCGTAATGAAAGGCCTCAATTTTGCCAATTTTTATATATGATAAAAAATATTATAAACTGTGAAAAGATTATTGCAACTAAAAATGGTAAACTGTCAATCCATAATAAGAAGTGGAAAACTATCGTGTGCTCGTTTTTTTAAAATGCAATTGTATTTGTGCTATTGTGTCTATATAAATGTGTTGTGATAATGTGATGTTTTTATTAATAAAAAAATAAAAAAAAATAAAAACTGTGCCGAGCATGACGCTGACAATTTGAGCATTTTTTCTCCTGACAGGCTCCTATTTTTCTCTCGTTTCTCATGTTTATTTTCAATTTGACTATTTTCATCTGTGTTTACAGTAATTTAGATGTCGCTGACGCGTTAACTTTCTAGTTTATTCGCGACTCCCCGTCTATGAACCTTTCCCCGAGCATCGACTTCCTTGTTTACTTCGTGACATTGGCTAATCAGTAAGATGCAAAAAGTGACGTAACAATGCCCCCTTTTCGCATCCGCTCAGACACTTTTCTCACTCAGACAGATTTTCAAGCGTGGTTGTTAACAATACCTCGTTTTCGCGTTTTTGAACTTTATTCGTTAGTTTTCAGTTGTGTCTCGGAAACTCAAATGTAAATCAGATAATTCAATGATCACTCTGTCTTCCTAGGAGTTTTGATTTAATTGCAGTAATAAAAATTAGTGTAGAAAATAGCTGTGATAGACTAGCCTGAAATTCTTTACCGGTACTTTTAAAAAACAGGTTGTTGTATGCGACGAATCATAATGGTGGTTTGAAACACATACCCCATTTTACAGGCGCCAACTCGCAAAAGCACTCTTAAAATAGCCCCGAAAATCTTGCAATGGTAAAGTATAGGAAGAATTTTCCGGGGGTCAAAGGTCGGAAAAGGTCCATTGCAGTCGAATTATTGTACGTCTGTTATTCAGATTCAGATATTTTATTTCGTCATGCAAGAATCAATATGAGGCAAAAGAAAACACAGTAAATTGAAAAAACGAAAAACATTGATTCATTGCAATTGACGCGGGGTCGCGAATAGACTCAATGAGTCATCTAGTCAGCGACACCTTGGTGCTGTATTAAAGCAGCAAATATAGCAATGAAGCATATAGAACAACAAAAAAACGAAAATTTATCTTCAGAAATACACAAATCATTGAAATACAACAATAGATTCGAAATAAAATACACAAATCATGGAAAGACAACAGTGGATTCGACAACAAAAAAGGAAAAATTATCTTCAAAAATACAAAAATCATGGAAAGACAACAATAGATCCGAAATAAAATGCACAAATCATGGAAAGACAATAGATTCGAAATAAATTTAATTGTAAATAACCACACTACAAGAACCGCCAGTACGATTCATTCAGAAGAAGGCTCATTAGCGACATCTGGTGTTTAAGATGCGCATCGATGAATTCAAAACATAAAATAATGCTGAGTCATACGACCCAGCACTAAAAAGGACTGAAGTAGCGTCCAAGCAAACTGGGTTGCCATTTGATAGCTATTATATGTGGAAAGTAGACGACGACGAGTTTCCGTCACAGTAAGGTGAAGTACCGGTATGCACTATATAAATTGCACATGAGAAGTTGGCAAAAAATGACATAGTAAAACATGAAACAGCCAGCAAAAGAGGTACAGCATTCAGCTGTCATAAAAAAAAATAATGGATACAGCTGTTCAGTAGAGGGACATGGATGGGTACAGGAATCTTACTTATAACGGAACAAGTTAGACTGCTAGCACCTATAAGCTTCAAGGTATAAAGTTTTCAATTTACATTTAAAAGAATTATAGTTACTTGTACGAATTGGTTTCAGGAAGCAAATTCCATAACTTTACTCCAATGAACTTGATTGAGCGTTGGGTTAGTTTGGTAGGAAAACGATTCAAAAAAATATGAAGCAACTGGTCGAGGACCTTGTTCCATATGAAGTGAACATCACTCTGCTTCATAAATAATTAGTGAATGCAGGAGGGAGTTTTTTGTTGTGATGTTGGTGCATTATTTTTAGCACTTCGAATTTATGCATATCCACCATTTTAATTATGCGAATACTGTGGTAAATAGGAGTCAGATGAGTGCGATAACCGACATTGGAGATAGCGCGAATTGCTCGATTCTGCATAATTTCAATATTACGTAATAAATTTTTATCAGCCAAGCCCCATGCAACAATGCCATATTGAATGTGTGACTGAAATAAGGAGTGGTAGACCATACGTAATGTTGTGAGTGAAGCAAATCGCCGAAGTCTATATAGTATCCCAACTGACTTGGATAGTTTAACAGCCAGTTTGGATATAATGAATGTCCCACTTCATTTTGTTATCAATATGAATACCCAGATATTTATAAAAATTTACATTTTCAAGTTCTGTGTCATCAATTTGGACTACTAAACCATTTTGTGCTTTACTTTTAGGTGATATTAACATAGTTTTAGATTTATTTATGTTTATTGTTAATTTGTTTGATCGCATCCAGTTTGCTACTTTAGCAATTTCAGTGTTCACCCTTAATTCAAGGGCTGCACAGGATTTGTCACTGTCAAGGAGATTGGTATCATCTGCAAATAATTTCGAGAATAATGAAGAACAATGAGTTATGTCATTAACATATACTAAAAATAACAATGGACCCAAACAGCTACCTTGTGGAACTCCATGAGTCACTGGTAAGGGAGGAGAACAATAAGAACCTACTTGAACATACTGTGATCGACCGCTTAAGTAACTAGAAATGAGTTTATTTGCTATACCCCTAATACCATAATGTTTCAACTTGTAAATCAGGATGTCATGATTTACAGTATCGAAAGCTTTTTTAAGTCTAAAAAAGTTGCACTAACATACTTTTTCTTTTCTAGTCTATCATAGATAAATGATGTAGTGTCTAAAATAGCATGCGATGTGGAATGACTGTTTTGAAAACCGAATTGAGATTTATTTATGACATCATATTTATTGAAAAAACTAGTAAGCCTCTTATGAATCAGGCGTTCAAAAATTTTATCAATCGTTGAAAGGATTGATATCGGTCTATAATTTGACACGAGTTTTTTATTTCCAGATTTAAGAAGAGGAATTACTCTTGCAATTTTGAGAGAAGAAGGAAATATGCCGAGAGAGAGTGAGCAATTGAAGAACTCTGTCAGACATGGAGCGATGAGGTCAGCAACTAATTTAAGAAAGCGAGCTGGAATATTATCTGGCCCAACTGCCTTCCTATCCTTCAAATTTTGAATTTCTACCAACAATTCATTAGAAGTAGTCGGACTCAAAAATATAGACTGGCTCAGAGGATTATGAAGAAGTTGTTTGAAGTTACCCGAATCATTAGAAAACTTTTCTGAGAGGCTGGACCCTATGGTTGAGAAGTACTCATTAAATTCAGTTGATATCGAAAAGTCATCTTTGGTGATACTGCCATTTTTCAGATAAATTTCCTTAACTTTTTGTCTTGATTTATTATGCGTGTGCGTAATTTGGTTAACTATTTGCCATGTCGATCTCGGGTTGCCTCTGTTTTGGGCAATAAGGTTTTGGTAATAAATTTGCTTTGCTCTATCTACAGTTCTTGTCAGAACATTCCGATAATTTTTAAAGTACGAGCATTGAGAGCTGTTACCCCTCAAAAAATGAGATTTGAATAATTTATTTTTGCGTCGAATACAAGTAATCAATCCTTTAGTAAGCCAGGGTTTTAGTCTTATCCTTTTCTGACGACGTGAAAGTGGTTGTAAAGGGGCATGTCGATCAATCAAAGAAACAAATGATTGTACAAATTCGTCAAAGACACTGTCAAAGTTTTGTGAATTTAATTGAAGTGTGGTGAATTGGTTGTTAAGAATGCCTATTATATCTGAACGAAAAGTGTCCAGAGAGAATGTGGACATGTCCCTTGACAATACACAATTATTAGAAGATGTTGGTTTTATGCCATTCACGCAACACATAATCGGAAAATGGTCTGTGATATCAGACAGAATGACAAAAGAATTGATTTGTGAATTGCTCATATTAGTGTAGATGTGGTCAATTAACGTTGCTGAAGTACGACTTATTCTAGTGGGCTTTGTTATCAGGGAAGTGGCATTATGTGACATAAGCATGTTAACATAACTGGCAACTTGGGTATTAGTAGAAGTTGAAAAATAAATTAATATTAAAATCCCCTGCAATCAAAAAGTGTTTATGTGCCATTTTGGATAAAGAAGTTTCAAATGCATCAGTAAAATTTAAAATATCATTGCGAGGATGTTTATATATAACGCCGATTACTAGGTTATTGCAAGTGTTCACCAAACTGACTTCGAACCACAGATTTTCGCAGTTAGAATAATTATTAAGGTCAAGCTCTGTAATTTCAGAGTAGGTGATATCATCTCTTATAAATGCACCAACACCACCTGCTTTAGTGGCAGATGGCGCATGTATGAAGCTGTACCCATCAATAGGTATATTAAAATCATGGTTATCAGATAATTTTGTTTCACTTATTGCAATTATGTGTGGAGGTGAAGAAAAATTGGATAGAAGCGTGGTCAATTCGTCTAAATTTTTCATGAGGGATCTGATATTCACATGAAAAATACTTAAGTTTGACAGGGTTTGAATTGAATATAAATTTGCAACTTCCACATTGTTGCATGTGACAGAATTATCAAGATGATCTAATTGGAATTCACTATTACTAACACTATCACAAGCCATTTAAAAGGGTGAGAAAAAAAAAATTGTAAGGAAAATACAGAATCGAGGATAGTCAAACATATATAACTATCAATAATTGTATAGACATACAACTGAATTATTATTATTATTACGACCAGACATAAAATCAAAAAACCTACTTGATGAATGAAAGGTCATCTTCAGTGACAATAGGGATGGTTTTGGTCATTGAGTTCTTTTTAATGAGTACCCTCCCATTGTGCGTCCATAAAAATTTATATCCACAAATGACTTTGAGATCTTTGGCTTTATAAAATAAGTCTTTATTAGTGTCGGTTAAATTTTCCACAACAAAAATTTTGGTGGATGATGGTAATTGTGGAAAGTCGGTACGAAAGTTGGCTGTTCTTAGCTGACGACGATTTTTTAAAATATTATGTCTGGTTTTTCGGTTGACAAACTTTACTATGATCGGTGATGGTTTCTTCTTGTTGTTTTTCGACATCCTGTGGCAGTTCGATATGTCGAATGGTTGAAGTGATACATTGATTCGAGCTGCTACTTTCATGATTATGTTATCGCAGTCTTCATCTGTGGAGTATGGGATGTTGTGAAACTCTAGATTATCTAGTCTATCTAGTCTAGATCTGCGCTCTTGATCTTGCTGGCGTTCGGTCAAGATATCTATTTCTTCTTCAAGATCTTCGACGATAAGTTCGAGTTCGCGAATTTTTTTGTTATTTTTTGCTGTTGTGTTGTTCAGATCCTTATAGTTTGCACTAAGGTCATCAAATTTTTTTGAAATAAAGTCCTGGCTTCTTTTAATCTCTCCCACTTCATCTTTTATTATACTGAAGGAGGACAGCTGGGTTTTCACTTCCTTCAGTGATTCATCCAGTGAAGACAAGGACTGCTGGATGCCAGTGCTGGTGGGAGTGGTTAAAGAGACATCTTGAGCAAGTCTTTCCAGATGTTGTTCAATGATTGCTGGTATTTCTAAACGCAAGGTTTTTAATATTGTGCTTTCAAGCACTGTAACCAAATCAGAGATTTTACTCTCCGACAATTTTGGCAATGTAAAAGTACTACCAGCTTGTCGATCGGTGGGGCTTTTGCGTTTTGGAGGGTCTGGAGGAACATCACAAGATTTTGAAGTTGACATCTTTCCAGATCCTAAACCACAGGTCGTAACTGATGTTTTGAGTTCAAGTTGGTAGGTTTACTCAGACGTTTCAATTATTCATTGCAGAGAAGATATTATAGACTATAGTAGGTACTCTATTAATATAAGTTCATAAAGCTATATCTGCAAACTTAATACAACCAAATACTCCAATGATACAACCAAATACTCCATTATTTCTTATTTTCTTCTTTCAATTAATTTATTTTTACTGTTTATTTGCACAATATTTCTTGCATGGCGGAAAAAAATAATGTTGAGCAACTGTCGTATCCAATGGTTCCATAAAGCCCCATCTACTGGAGCAACATATTTCAAAGATTCATTCTCAGATTGCAATTTCAGATAAGTTTAATGGCGATAGTGACTGCGTCCTGTTGTCCTGCGAACAGCAAGGACCAAAAAGCCCCATAAAATCGGTGCGACATTGATGAATCTTGGTCTGATAGAGACTGCTGAGCGATGTCTAATAACAATGATGCGCTTTTTAAAAATAGATCATCCCAACATTGGTCTATCAGTGATATAATACCAGTTCAACTTGTGCTGGACCTCGATTGGGTTTTTATGAGACTAACTACTCATCATTCTTTATATTGTTCCAGTAAATCCGTGTGCACGTAGGACGGTGTTGCTGTAGTAGGGAAAATTACTATCCTAATGGATTCAAGAGTTCTAACACAAATAAATATCTGTGAAGTTTTTTCTCACTGAGATCAGACTATGGACCTTTCCCCGACCTTTGACCCCCGGAAAATTCTTCCTATACTTTACCATTGTAAAATTTTCGGGGCTATTTTAGGAGTGCTTTTGCGAGTTGGCGCCTGTAAAATGGGGTATGTGTTTCAAACCATCCTTATGATTCATCGCATACAACAATCTGTTTTTTAAAAGTACCGGTAAAGAATTTCAGGCTGGTCTATCACAGCTATTTCTACACTAATTTTTATTACTGCAATTAAATCGAAACTCCTAGGAAGACAGAGTGATCATTGAATTATCGGATTTATATTTGAGTTTCCGAAACACAACTGAAAACTAACGAATAAAGTTCCGAAACGCGAAAACGAGGTATTGTTTACAACCACGCTTGAAAATCTGTCTGAGTGAGAAAAGTGTCTGAGCGGATGCGAAAAGGGGGCATTGTTACGTCACTTTTTGCATCTTGCTGATTGGCCAATGTCACGAAGTAAACAAGGAAGTCTATGCTCGGGGAAAGGTCCATAGCAAATAACAAAATATATTGCTTGTGGTTGGTAGCGTGCTAAACTGTGGTGTATTTTCCGGTGTTATACTGTCTTTTTCTGGATCTTACAAAGACACTGCTTCCCGAAAGCATGTATTGAAACTGTATATTTACGAATACATATGAAGATTTCACAAGCATGACAAGCCAGACAAAATCCAAATTGCACTGCATGCTGAATTTAAGTCATTAGTCCTTTACTTGATCGTTTACAATTCTTTTTCACATTCTATGCACCCTTCGACCGAGTCTTGTCCTAATGACGTTCTCACATACAGAACAAAAAATTTATCGTGACTTCTGCTATCTGTTTCGTTAGTCATATTTGTTTGGAAGGTCGAGTGACCTTAATTCACTAATATGATTCTGATGGGGTGTACTAGTGTTGTGTCGTAAACTCGAAGAATAGATAGGCTTACCATACGTCCCGCTTTGGGCGGGACAGTTCCGCTTTTTAGCGTCTTGTCCCGCCGTCCCGATAAGTCAGCCAAAAGTCCCGCTTTTGCGTTCAGCCATCCATCATAATACACGAACATGTTCGCGTTACTGATATTTCTGTGTAGCGCAGCGCTAGCCGGCTTACTGAAGGTGAATGGAATGCCTTATTGCGTTTGCTTCGTTGTTTCCCGCTAACATTGATAGCAGACGTATCGCATGTAAAACCAATGCTAATTAGTATGAATTCGAATTATTTGTAACGATATTAACGTCAATTCCTTTCTAATTTTCGAACTGAACCCGACATTTGGACAGAGAATATGCGCATGAAATTTTGATGACAATATGGCCAATAAAGATAGCCGAAATAGCTAAATGTAGGCCGATGTAGTAAAATCGGAAAATGTAAAAATCACAGATAAGGGGTCGTTATCTTTGGAGGCGTCCCGCTTTGAAGTCACAAAAATATGCTAACCCTAAGAATAGACGATGTTTGTAGATATTCAAAATGTATTTCAGAAACACGCAGTCATCGACTGAAGCATCAACAAACAAGAAGGGCGAAACAGAAAACCAAGGTGACTCATGCATGAAATAATGGGAGCCATAATACAGTATACCACATTTCCCCCTTTGAAAAAAAAAATATGTACAGTAGCAAAGTACAAAAGCAATATAAGCATGCATAAATCACATTTGATAATCTCTATGCCATTTTGGAGGTACACGCATTCTAGAACTTCTACGAGGAAATTCAGAATTAACAGTGTCAGAATTATCATTAGCAGTATTATCAACAGAAGGTATCACAGTATACAAAATATGCAAGGATGCCAATATGGGGTGTACTAGGGTATTGTGTATTGAACTGCAGGTCCTTTCTCCTTGTTACTTTCTATTCCGGATCCGTATGTGGCTGTTGCCACAAGGATGCGTGACTGAGATAGTATTATGAAGATAAATAAAAATAACTTAATCTCTTTCCACGAAATATCAAGTATATTTATGAGCTTTCGTTAGATCATAGTCTAACTTCTTCAGATAAAACAAGATATGGCTGCAAATTATAAAAACCAGTAATAAGTTAAAAATCACAGAAATACATTATACATTGGTTGGTTAGGTCTATCTCTCCCGTGCCGGTTCAGCAATTGATACTAGGGGTTTCCAGTTTTTATTTGCGTTTCAGTATTTTATGTTGATTCCTTGTGGTTGCCGGGTTCCTAGTTTGTTGATCCAAAAGTGTTCTTTGTTTTTTTTCTGTATAACTCACAGTTGGTGAGTGCGTCTATTCCCAGGACACGGAAATCCTTCATGGTGTGGCCTTTGCTATTGAAGTGATTTGCAACTGGTGTTGGGGCCTTTTTTCGGATATCCCTGATGTGGTCTGAGATCCTGGTTTTCAGTTTTCTACAGCTTTCGCCTACGTATTGTAATGGACATTTTTTTGCACGTAATTAAGTATATAATATTTTTGGTGTTGCAGCTGATAATTCTCAAAAGTTGGTATTTTTTGTTTGTTGATGAACTCCTGAAGTATTGGGTCTGGGTTGAGTGCAGACAGGTTGTGCACCCTTTTCTTTTGCATTTAGTGAGAGAGAGAGAGTTTATTTCATTTTGTCAAACCAAGAAAACAATATATACATAACAAAATTAAAAAATGTTTTCGGTACATGACTGGGAGGCAACGATACGACCTTTGGAGGTCATCAGAGTCAGTTGCCACCCAATTCAATAAACATAAAAAATAAATAACAGGTTCGGTGTGAATCTATTAATACCTCTCATGTTTGTTTACTATATGCAATATTTACATGTTTTATTATCAAAGCGAAAACTATGGCATACGGTTCTTTCAACTGACCGAAATTCTACACATATTGAATTTTCTTTCCAAAATATAAACTGCTTAGTGGAGCCCAGGTACTCTAATAAGATACGATTTATTAGGGTAATTTGTAAACTTATGGGTGAAGATAAGTTAATACAGAACATGCAGGATTTTGAACAAGGGTGGAGTTCCATTATAACATACACATACTAGTGTTATATAATCAGAAGCACGGGTTGGATCATAGAAACAATACAGATTTTTGTTGTATACAAAATGCATTTATTTGGACAAGGCCATTCATGCAAATATTTAGGTAAAGTGTTGACCTAGCAAAAATAAATTAATATTAAATTCAATATAATCAATACAGTCGGTAATAAAACTATAAATCAAGTGAATAAAAGACACGTAGTGTACTGCAAATCGTTTCCGTAAACAATTACTTCAAAAAATTGTTGTTCTGGTGTACTGCAGTTTGTTTCCCCGACGTGAAGTAATTATTCAATTAATTACTGTAGTGGTGGTCACGCTGTGCCAACTCTCAAACGGTGTCCACTTGGATCACAGTGTGCCACAGATGTTGATACTAAAAATTAACTTGTGGACGCGGTCTTTTTCTTATTATGCTCTGACGGGACATCACCTTCACGAACGAATATTACAGCCTGTGCTCTCCAAATCCTCATAAATAACAGTCTACTTGACTGGATACAATCAAATGTATTATAACTTGGAAAACGTGTAACAGTCACTCAAGGATTGCAAAATCAGGTCGAACACAATAACACTCGCCAACAGTTGGTGAGGTACGAAAAAGCCGGTAATTAATTATAGTGTCACTCGGGTATAAACAAATGCAGTACCAATAGATTTCTAAACAGTAAGAAAACACAATTGTTACACCTACAGAAACACGAATCAATTACAAATACAAGTCCATGTTGGGAGAGCCAGAACTAAGAACGGCAGACGGAGCAATTAGCCTAACGCGCAGTACGCCGAGAACGGTTCCATTACATTTGAACCCACGTACATTTGAACCCATGACAATTGCACCTGTATGCTATTACACCTATGGAATTTTTTTTGTTTCACGGATAGTTAAACCCATACTAACCCTAACCCATGGGTTTTAGCACCCGCATATAGATTGAACCCGTGGATATACGCATGGGTTCAAATGTACATGGGTTCAAATGTACGGTCACCGTCGAGAACACAAGTGAACAGCACGTGGTACTATCCCAAAGTCAGAAGGTGACTGCTTTATCGCAACACCTAGTGGACCTAAACCCACGGGTACGTGTGCCAATAATGCACTTCGTAAATCAATGACCATTACATGGCTCCCCTGAAACTACTTTTGTTCCCAACAAAGGAGTTTCACAATACCTAAAATACCAAATTAGGACGAACACATAGTTTCACAATGAAATTGAAGTTAAATATCACAATATTCATAGCACAAAATATTTGAAATCACTATAGTGAGAAACTGAGTGATCAAGGCTCCCTGTCGGGGAATCTCCATATTCCACACACAAATTCAACTATCTCGAAAGATACAATTCTGTAACCCTATATTGTTTCTCAGAATAGTAATGTCAAATTAGCACATGATATAATCATCAAAGCACATTAAAAGATACGCCAAATACTTCACCAAAAACTCCAAATATCACACTTTTACTGTCAGAGGTGGGAAAGTTATGAAAGACCATCTAATCTCTATTACGCAGTAAAAGTACTAGCTTATGAATGGGCCTCTCCAAATAGGAGATTTCATGCAACCGTTTGCCAGCCTTGTCCAAATCTCTAGTCGCCACTGCGAGTCTGACCTTCCTAATCAAATTATCTTTGCCCGGAAAAACAGTGGTGACCCTTGCAACTCTCCACAAATTTCTGGGTAGTGAATCATCAGAAATGAACACAATATCACCCACTTGGACATTAGGTTTTTTATTAACCCATTTATTTCTGGATTGCAGAGAAGAAAGGTATTCCTTTCCCTATCTGTTCCAAAATTCACTGGCAAGGTACTGTACTCTTCGCCAACGACGAAGTAGATATCTATCAGCCTTTTGAAATACACCTGGAGGGGGTAATAGAACTCTAGATTTCAAAGTTAGGATATGACTAGGTGTGAGTGGCTCTGGTGCAGTAGCATCATTGATGCTTTCAACAGAGAGTGGCCTTGCATTAACAATGCATTCTACTTCAGTCAAAAAAGTCCTGTAGGACTCATCACATAAAATATGTCGAAACCAGTGGCGGCGCGTGGTCATTTTGACAACCGGGGCAAGCTACTGCGGGACCAAGTCACCCCCATCTAAGGGGACAGGATGAGCGCTGTAAGTTCTCCCATCATTTTATGAGTATGAAAACCATTCCATCGGTAACAACCAATCGGCACAAGCGACAATTTTTAACGATAAGAAAGTGTCTTTAAAACCGGTCCAAGTCAAAATGATGTCCAGAAATTTTGCAGACGCCGCAAAGGTAGTTACTAGAGTGTTATCTATGAGGAACCCATAGACCGCGCAAGTTGATGTGATGTTCAAAAAAGTTTGATTGGTGTATATACATCGCAATTCATTTTCCAATTTACCCACGTTTATCACGGGGTAAAATTTGGAGACGGTAGCCAACAAATGGATGGGAAATTGACGTGCAAATTTTGAAAAAATTTTGGAGTTCATCAAAGAGAACGCGGCAAGGTGTTCAGTGCGCAGACGATCGCCTATTTGATTCACCAGAATGTCACAGCATTCCTTTGCAGACAAAATCAAACGCTGCGTTGTTTGCCCGCGGCGTAAAGAAGCACTCCATGTGTCGTCGTATTTTATTGTTTCCCGGATACGAGATACAGCATCGCAGAAGTCTGAAATACACGACTGCACAGACGGTCCATCCATTAGCCTTGACTGCAATGCGCCGTATAATACATCCACGTGATAGAATATTGTGGAGAAAAAAGCGAGAAAAAATGAAAACTCACCATCTTCTAGCAGACGCTTTAGACCTGCCGCCTCCCTCACAGAGCGTTTGTCCCAAACCGGAGAGCTCTGAATGCCATTGAAACACTCAATGAGCTCAGACCTAATTTGGGACACGCCCTGCACCACGCGTGATTGGAAGTTCCAACGTGTTGGTGCACAAGCTGGGAGACGGCGGCTACATATCTGGCGAAGGAGGTCAGAGTGCTTCGGCGAAACGAAAAAAAATGAAGAGAACCCCGAAACATTTGCAAAAAATATACGGACGAGAGGGGTATCAAGACACATATTTTTAATAACGAGGTTAAATTGGTGTGCATAACAATGTAAAAAAATGCGCATGAGGAAAATCTTCTTTTATATAAACTTGAACACCATGTTTCGACCCACTCATGACTGCCGCGCCGTCATAAGTTTGAGCTATCAATTTTGACTTCGCGTTGTAAGGCTGTAACACCTCTTTCAGTACAGCCGATATCCCGCAAGCCGTGCGATCAACGATTGGTACAAAGCTGTGAAATCTCTCGGTAGGTTTACCATCTTTCACAAACCGAAAAATCACAGCCAGTTGGGAAACGCACGTGATGTCAGTTGTCTCGTCAGACTGAATCGAAAGGAACTGGCAATTCTCAATTTCCAGAGCCAAATGTTGTAAATAAATTTTATACATTGAGTCGAGCAAATCATTTTGGATATCCTTAGATGTCCCTTTCGAAACAGTTGCGGCATCAAGATGATCTCTCAATACTGTATCTAGGGATGCGGTGTATTCCACCATATCCAAAAATCCCCCTCTATTAGAAGAGCCAGCTCGTTCATCGTGCCCACGGAGGGACAGCTCGTGACAACCAATGAACTTCAAAACATCTATCAATCGACCGAGAACATGGCGGTTTTTCTCGACGTTTTGGTTGTGCCGACGAATAGAAACCGCGCGTCCTTCATCCAACTGTGCTGCAATATTAACATTTCCGAATGTTCGGTATTTTACTGCATTGTCCAGTTGCTCCATAGAAGATTGATGGTCCCTGGCACGCTCGGAAAGATGTTTAAGATCTCTAAAACCAAATTTACACCAACGTGAGTCACGGGCGGTAGCAAAAAGTAGGCAATAAAAACAAAAAAGTGCATTTTTGTCCTTTTATACCAAGTTTCTGCGCAGAATGTACGCCGACGCTTTCCTCCGTCGTGGGATTGTTCCAGTGAACAATTTTTTGGTTGATAAGGCCCAAGACGTTGTACCTCTAATTTTTGTTCCAGCGGCAGCTGCGAAAACGGAGTGCGAAGTAGTGCATCAACCTTATTCATTATGAGGTCTAAGGCTAAGAAATGCGAAGCCGGAAAGAAGTGAGGAGCTCAAAAGGAATGTAGAAAATCGAAAGCAAATGGACTAAAGGTCTCTAACTGATTCAAATAGCGAAACAAGCGACAAAAACGAAGGCGAGGAAACTATCAACTCTTCAAGCAACCAACGAACGAGAAGGAATGCGTGAATATGTCAACACGTTGTTGTAAGAAACCTCGGCATTGTGTCGTCATAATTTCGGGGCTAGACCCGATGATTTAGTAAAAGAAACAGAAAACAAACGAGACAAACGCGGCGAGTGGAAGATAAAAGAGAGAATACGATATACAATGAGCAACCGGGGCAAAATCGGCGTCGCCCCGTCGACGTTCGGCGAAGGCTTTGCGAGCGAAAAATGAACCCTGTCGGGAGAATATGGCTAGTGTAGACAAGACAGTCTGTGCAACCGATATTGAGGTATTTTTCGAATATTTTTTATTATACCGAAAAAACAACCGGGGCATTGCCCCGCTTGGCCCTATTGACGCGCCGCCACTGGTCGAAACTGTATCATCAAAGGCTCAAGAGCAGATTTTACTGTTCTTATTTGCCTTTCTATAACACCAGACATTGCTGAGGGAACTGTAAATTTAAATTAAAAAAAGTCACATTTTTTCTGCGAAAGAAAGTTTTTAATTTTATCATGATTCATTTCCAACAATGCCCTTTTCAACTCGTTATTGGCACCAACAAAGTTGGTTCCACAATCACACCTCAATTGTGAAATAGGACCCCTGCGAGCCAAAAACCTTCTTAAAGCATTAATAAAAGAATCAGTACTAAGTGAATTCAGCGATTCAAGATGAATCGCTCTTGAGGACATGCAGGTAAATAGAACACAATAACGTTTCAAAATCGAACGTCCATCTTTTATCTCATAAACCCCAAAAACATCACAACCTGAAACGGTAAAGGGGGCATGGGCATCCAACCTATCATCAGGCAAATCAGCCATTTTTTGGTTCTGCAAAGAACCTCTCAATTTCCTGCAAAAAAACACAATTATTAATAGCCTGTGAAACAACAGAATGCCCATTTATAATCCAAAAACCATTCTGACGAATACAATTCAAAGTAGTATAACGGCCCATATGATTAACATGGTTGTGAAAATGCCTCACTATCAAATCGGTAACATGAGACTTTTTGGCCAGAATGATCGGATGTTTAACCTCAAATCTTTCATCACAATTCACAATCCGACCACCAACTCTTTTGATTGTTCGCTTCTCTTAGCCAGATAAGGATGGCTTATCCAATGACGGTGTTTTCACCGAATGAAGTCTTAATGCATTAATATCTGAACCGAAATGATCCATTTGCAAAGACCTCAATAGGACAGTCTCTGCATTTCTGATGTGTTCAGAGGTTAGGTCTCTACAGGGCTAATGCTTAAGCTTGCCAATATAACGAATACAGTTAGCAACAGCTCTAGTTGCTCTGAACCATGATGAAAATACACAAAGTCTATCGATACCAATATTGACTTGGTCAAGCATAACCGAAGTTTGAGTCTTGAAGACAGTAGATTTTCTCATTTCTTGTTGCAATTCTGTAACAACAGTTTCATTCGGCTCAAACACTACATTCGGTGGACAATACACACCTTTCATACGGAGAAATTCAGGACCATTTATCCAGCGACAATCACTGGACAAATCTTTTGCAGATAACCTTCTACTGGCATCATCACTTGGATTGTAAGAGGACGAAACATGATGCCAGGAATCTGCATTTGTATAATTATGTATGGTCTGAACACGATTGGCAACATAAACATGAAACCTTTGACTCATTCTTAACATATCCCAAAACAATCATACTGTCCACTCAAAAATATTCAGTCACACTTTCATACTGCAACTCATCATGCAAAAACTTACTCATCCGTGCAGATATTACTGCAGCATTCAATTCCAAACGAGGAATAGTTACATGTTTTAGAGGAGCTACTCTCGATTTGCCAATAATAAGGGAACAACAAACACCATCATTCACATCAATCAATCTCACATACGAACACTGACCATATGCAATGTCAGAGGCATCTGAAAAATGATGATATTCAACTAATTTTACTTTCCCAAAATCAGGTTTTTTGAAACATCTACGAACTCTCAAATTTTCAATACAAAATATCTCATCACGCCATTTCAACCATCGCATTCTCAAATCATTCGGTATGGGGTCATCCCATCCAGAAACATCCTTACACAATGATTGAAGGATTATTTTTCCTTCCAGAATAACAGGCGCCACAAATCCAAGAGGGTCATAGACTGAACTTACAGTCGACAGAATGCCTCTCCTGGTGACAGGCATATCTTTCAATTCTATACGAAATTGGAGTTCATTCTCTTTCTATTGGAAGAGGATCAGTATGAGGATCAAGACGCTTCATACCCTTTGCTCTTTCATCTGAAGGAATAATATCCATCACTTCACGACTGTTAGAAATAAATTTACACAATTTCAAACCAGCCTTCGCACACAAACGTTTACTGTATCGCACAAGTGAAACAACATCAGAAACAGAATCTCTTGAAATAAGGCCATCATCTACATAAAATTCATTTCTAACAAAATTAGCAGCATTACTCTCAAATTCTAATTCTCCATCATCACCAGCCCTCTTAAGGCCGAAATTAGAACAGCCGGGAGAACTGACTGCACCGAAAAAATGGACTTTAAGTCGGTATTCTAGTAAACCACCATTTTCAATGTCCCCATTGTCCCACCAAATAAATCTTAGAAGATTTCTATAGGGCTTGCTAACATAAAATTGGTGAAACATAGCTTTTATATCAGTCATGAGAGCAACGCTCTCTTCTCTGAATCTGCACAAAATACCCAACATACCATTCATAAGATCAGGACCCTGCAAAAGGTAATCATTCAGTGACACCCCACCATACACAGCAAGACAATCAAAGTCAACTCTGATCTGATCAGGTTTCTTATGATGATATACACCCAAATGTGGAACATAATTTATCATACCATAATCGACACACAACTCACACTCCGGGACCTTTTCTGCCCAATTCTCAACAATACTACCCATAAACTCCAAATAGTCCTCTTTGAACTTTTGGTCTCTAAGTAGCCGCCTTTTCAACTGAAGCGCACGCTTCTCGGCTAAGGGCTTATTATTGGGAAGAAAAACTGGTTCATTACGCAATGGAAGTGGCATTTCATAATGCCCATCTTCCTATCTGGTAATACCATTCGTGAGTATCTTAATGAATTTCTGATCATCGACAGAAAGTGGTACATCTTTACTGCTATGTTCAGCAAAGTCCATCTCAAACATTGATCTTACCTGTTGAGGATTTATTACTTCTTTGGACTTGGAAGCGAAAACAAAAGTTGAACATTTGTTTTCCATTACCAATATTTTATTGGAAACAAAGGACATAGAATCATTCAACCTCTCGAGCTCATCTTTACACACATTCCCAATCACACCCCAGCCAAGTACAGATTGCTGAGCATAAGGATCATTATCACCCTTCATCACAATATTCCTAGGCCTGATAGCTTTAGGAACATTATTACCAAGCAAGATAGAGACCTCTAAATTAGGGAAAAAACGGTACAAGCTTGTCAGAAATATCCTTCAGATGATCCCACTTTTGGCAAACTTCTACTTTAGGGATCTGGGAACGACAAACTGGTATCTCATTTCGTGAAAATACCGTGGGTGCAAAAACAATTTCCTTACGGTCATAACTCATAATTTTGATATTCTGAAATTTCTTGCAGGGAATAATATGACGTCCACTCATGGTGGACAATGAAATCTGAGTATCACAACCACTCAAACCCAAACGTTCAGAAGCATTATCAGTTATAAAACTTGAATTAGATTGACCATCCAACACACAATATGCCAATATTTCTACATTAGGATCAGACTTAGCTCTAATCCACACAGGCACACTCATTGACTTATCTGTGCCACCATACTGATCAGGCACAGTACAAAGTACAAACATCAACACACATTGAAACAGTTTGGCCATGCTCATCTTCACCAATGTGAAGACAAGATAAATGCAATTTGCCACAAGTTTTACACTTAGCTCTATGCTAACAAGTTTTAACACCATGCTCTCTAGAGGTTTTCTTACCACATCCATAACAAAGTCTGTGTTTGCGAATAACTTCTTTTCGCTCATAACGTGGCTGTTTTAGAAACCCATCACAATCAGTGATATCATGATTCTCTTCACAAAAAATGCAATTAGGCACTTTGACATTGGTATTGAAAGAAGCAAACTTAGGTTTGCGCGATTCATTACGTGAAACACGCGTATATCTATGGTTTTTCGGTCTCTGTCTGAACCTTGAAATTCAGGCAGATTTCTTACATCGGCCTCCCTCTTGATAAAATCGACAAAATCCAAAAAAGGAGGATAAGACTTAGGGTTACCCGTTTCCCTTTTGTGATACTTGATATTTCCAGAGATCGTAAATTTCATCTGGCAATTTGTCTACAATTTCTGTATGGGTGCTAGCAAAATCAAGAGTATTTAATTCCATTACCTTTTTCTTGGTTTCCTTTACTTGCTCCAAGAAATCAGAAAATTCCCTCAGACCTTGGGACACATTCATATATATATCTGGCCACTTTTTCAGCTTATTAAGAAAAGCTGTGCCCACAACATTGTCATTCCCATACCTACTTTTAAGCTCTGATTTAGCTTTTTTATAGGCATCCTCAGTTTTTACAAGAAAATACCCACTTACAACCTTCAAAGGACCCTCTGACAAATATTGCCGAAGCAAATTCATCTTCTCAAAAGTATTCCTTACCCTTTGCTCTACCAGAGCAATGAACGAGGATTCCCATAGTGGATAATCCAAAGGGTCACCGAACTTTAATATTTGGCAATCTTTGGGCAGAAAGCAAACTCTGGGCAAGATCAAGACTGGACTGACCGACACCACCAATGTGTTGGATTTGTGGTGGTTGGGCTAGGACAACAGGTGGGTTGACAGTTTGTGTGATTTCAGGGGGCACAAAGGAATTATTACATGAAATTGGCACATTAAAATTAACACCGTTAGTGGTAATATTGTTATTTAAATTAGTATTGAGTGGCCTAGATACAAATGGCATGTCAGAAACAATAGATTGATTAAAACTTTGCATCTTATCACGCAAATTAGAAACAGGTAAAGACTCACGAATTTCTTGAAGCCCTGAATGTCAATTAAGTATCCATTTAATCCGAATGGATTTCGCACCTTTTCCGTTCTGAAGCAAGCTTCTAAACAAACTTCGTTTTCTGCTATCTTCTTCTGTAATGCTAAGCGTTCTCGTTCAAAGCGGGCATCGTTTTCTTGTCGTTCAGCATTATGTTCTTTCGCCATAAAATTCAACTTTGCTTTTAGCAATGCCGAAGTTTTACTTGCTTCATGCAATTGTTCTAAGTTCGATTTGGCTGAAATTTTAGAAATGTCACTTTTCCTGGTTGATTGGCTCCCCCTAGATGAGTTATGTGATCTCGTCTCAAAATTCTTTATTGATCTCAGTTGTTCTTCAACTTCATGCGTCACGTGTTCAATGACACTGGTAACTTCGATACGTTGATTCTCGAATAATTTCAATTCATCATGTGAAATACAATTTTTCATTCCGCGAAAAATATGCTTCAATGAACTTTGATCATCAATAACTTTGACAAACATGTCTTTAATTTTCTGTTTATCATCATAGCATAAAAGTAGCCCTCTGCACCTTGCAATGCTTTTTTCAGCATTTCAACAAACTGAGCCTTGATTTTATCACCTGCAGAAATCTTGACAACAGCAGTTTTCTGTGGATGCTTGCCACTTTCAGCTCTGGGCTGTACCAGTTCTGAAATTCCATCAGTCAAGGTCCTCGGTGATAAAATGTCTTCTGCCTCTACTTCAGTTTTGCTGCTCGTACGGGTGCTGGATGAACCATTTCCTGACGCCATGATCAAAGCGTCTCAACTGGTGATTGGATTTATAGTATTTTAATATACTGATTATTGCACCGCTACACACAACAATTTGTCTCCCGATTCAACACTTAACAGATGTGTGGCACCTTTATGTGCCACCCAGCTTGAGACAAAAATTACTTTAGTGTACTGCAAATCGTTTCCGTAAACAATTACTTTAAAAAATTGTTGTTCTGGTGTACTGCAGTTTGTTTCCCCGACGTGAAGTAATTATTCAATTAATTAATTACTGTAGTGGTGGTCACGCTGTGCCAACACTAAAACGGTGTCCACTTGGATCACAGTGTGCCACAGATGTTGATACTAAAAATCAACTTGTGGACGCGGTCTTTTTCTTATTGAGCTCTGACGGGACAGCACCTTCACGAACGAATATTACAGCCTGTGCTCTCCAAATCCCCATAAATAACAGTCTACTGGATACAATCAAATGTATTATAACTTGGAAAACGTGTAACAGTCGCTCAAGGATTGCAAAATCAGGTCGAACACAATAACACTCGCCAACAGTTGGTGAGGTACGAAAATGCCGGTAATTAATTATAGTGTCACTCGGGTATAAACAAATGCAGTACCAATAGATTTCTAAACAGTAAGAAAACACAATTGTTACACCTACAGAAACACGAATCAATTACAAATACAAGTCCATGTTGGGAGAGCCAGAACTAAGAACGACAGACGGAGCAATTAGCCTAACGCGCAGTACGTCGAGAACACAAGTGGTATTATCCCAAAGTCAGAAGGTGACTGCTTTATCGCAACACCTAGTGAACCTAAACCCACGGGTACGTGTGCCAATAATGCACTTCGTAAATCAATGACCATTACAGTGGGACTTTGTTGAATATTCCTCTCTTTTTATATAAAATTACAATCTTGAACTTACTTTTTTGAATATCATTTTCTTCCAAGTGCCCTTCACAAATTTTCACTCGTCACGTTAATACAGGTGTTTAATATCAGAATCAGCCTGCAGACCAATCCCCTTTTTTCAAGTTAGTCTGCCCATATAAATTTTTCACCGGAACAAACCCGCTTGGATGATGGCAAAAACAGGATCCAAGATCCACTGACACTATCGCGTTGTGGAATGCAACATCGATTACTCATGTTGATGAGTGATGTGAATAAATAGCCTAGAAAGGTATAATACAAATTATGCAATTCTAAAAAAAGTAATACAAAAACGTAAAGAAGAGATAAAACGAGTTGACTTTAAAAAAAAAAAATTGGTACTCGTGGTGTTTGGTAAATCTGTGAATACTATCAGACTATAGTGCTGGTATGTTAGTCGTAAGTTATAATAGTAGAATTATATCTCCTAGAATGAAGGGTATGTAACTAAAAGGATCGTAACCCAGTACCGGACTCACGGAACATAAGAAATAAAGTAGCCTATGCCCCAGGTTACAATAATCGGGTAGAATATTGCAGTATTGATGTGTTTCATAGAACGCCAAGTTACCGTACCTGCGTTGTCTTGAGGGGGGAATACTAGTTGAAGCCAAAAAGTAAATCTAATCTATCTTGAAATAAACTAAAGAGACCGAGCTTAAGATGGACAACCGGCATTTGATTAAAGTATTGAACCAACCTAATAAAATACTATAGGCTGCTGAGCTAAAAATATACAGCGAGACATTTTGTGCACATACCACGGTCTTCACCAATCTCCGCGCAAATCAAGTGGCCGCAATGGAGCGTGAAGCTGCAGAAACTTGTAACGCAAATAACTTTGTTTGTTTTATTAATGTGGGCGTTGCTCTCTGGACTAGTTTCATCCCCCTGGGATGGGGGAAACGTCACACGCAACAAAAGCCACACGCAGATAAAATGAATGATTTTTTTTTAATAATAAAAACGTCACATATAGACACTATATATCAATAACACATTTATATAAACACAGTAACACAAATACAATTGCATTTAATAAAAAATCAATTTAAAAAAAATTAAAATGGATGATTTGACAAGAGTGTGCTTTGCATATTTTACCGCGTGGGAATTATTTTAGATTGCTGACGTCTACTGGGACAATTTTCTTGATTTCGGTTTGTAACAGAATTTCTGGCAATCTGGTTGTCGCCGGATATAATAATGCAAGTGATTATGCTTAGCAGTTAAGAATTAAAATTTCTCTAGCCAGATGAGTACATTTTGAAGTTGCTACCGGTAGAGAATGGTAGGTACAGCATATACAGGCTCCAGCACCGGTGTACAGTACGGTACCGGAGATGGGCATGGCAAGCATGTTCTAATGCTTCAAGTTAGGTGCGTTGATTCAGTGATTCTTTTTCTTAGCTGAATAACAGAGATACGGTACCGTTTATGATTATGGTAATCGATTACAAGAGGGAAGGTTGTTGGTATAGACTGGTGGGTACGGTACCATATGACTCATCAGAGTCAGTTGCCACGAAATTGCATACTGTAACTGCAGGTAACTTCGGATGGTTTGTAACTTCGGATGAAATTTTTAATCAATTATATCTCGACTAAATTGCGTCATATTGTGCTTATGGCAGTTTCTATAGTGATGACTTATATATCCAAATCTGTTATCATATTCAACCGCGCAGTTTAATCTGTTTTTTGATTAAAAAAATCACGTTTTAGCATAAAATTGACACTCCGTTTTCGAGCGGCGCAAATTGTGACTTTTACTGATGCTAACTTCGTCAAAATAGCGTCATTCGATAGAGGGCGTTATCAATGTATATAGAAAATTAGACTGATCGCGAGATGTCGTAGGAGACCCGATAAATAATTAAAATTCGAATAATTTTTTTTATCACAATAATAGCATCTGACGCACACGTTGAACTTGACGTCACCCTGACGTCGCTCACTGCGAAGACGACGTCATATTGCGTCGTCGTTACAGATTTGACGCCAGACTTCCGGGCGCCGACGAGTTGGCGTAGATTTGAAAATAACAACGATGTTTTGTTCGATTGATCAATATCGGCTAAAATATACGCATCAACAATTTTCTGTGGATCGTAAATTCATGGCGTCAAATGCTGGGAATGTAATTAATCCAAATTTATTAAAAATGGCAGTTGTATGTATGTATGTATGTTTATTTGCCTCAAAAATGTAACAGTATCTGCATGATAGTAAAACGGTATAAAAGAGACGGGATGCATGTGCAAGACCTTACTGGCCTAAGACACAGATGTGAACATGCACCCCAACAAGTATAACTGCAGTTTAGGACTGCTGCGTTATGGTAGGACAACAGACATGAAATATACAAATAAAACAAGTACAGTACAAGGGACAAAGAGGTACTCAAAAAAAAAGTTGCCAAACTAAGGGACCGTCTTATTCTCGCATAACTCAGATTGCACCAAAAAATCGACTCATTCGCGCATCAGAATTTGATCTCGCAACGAGATGATATTATGCTAACTTGCCGGTATTCCAAAAGCTTCAAACCATACCAAGTTCTCACGATAAAAAGCGTGCACGCACACACACGTACACACGCTTGTGAAAGTGGATTGTCTTATCGTTCAGCTGATGGCTTGTACAGTCTGTGATTGGTTGTTTAACATGTGACGCTTGTACAGGCTGTGATTGTTTGTTTTCGCTTGTGTTTCTTTTACATAACAGCAACAGTGTCGATTTACGGCCAGTTGTTTCGTGGTGAAAACTTTATTAATTGGTGCACTGTTGCCGTAGAGGCAATTAATGGCGCGCGACTTTTAATCACCTTTACGATATGTTATTCGTTAAGGGGCGGCGATAAGGACTCTTATCGAAATTAACCGCGTTGTGGACGATCAAAGGAAATTGTTATGCTGACTCAGGGACTCTCTTAAACCCCCTGCTTGATCCATTAAAACAAATCACGCCCCATGAAAAGCAATATAGACTTTATTAACATGAATTTACAAGTAAGAGTTACGGCCGTCGCTAACAAACAGAAATGATAAACGTGAGAAATGTTTGGGTTACAGTAATTTTGTTCTCTTTCCACGTTTTTCTGGAGGCGTCCGGCGTGTCACGATTCGTAGGACCGGCTTAAGTGCGATTTTTATAAAATCGTTGTTTTAAGGCCGTTTTTAAGAAGTCGGCCTATTCTCGATATAGGCGTAATTTCGAGTAAATACGGTAACAACAATCATTGTTGCAAGTGAGTTCTGTTACGTGAAGTTAACGAAAGTAATTTTAATAAAGTTGCCAATTTCCGAATCTGTGTTTTGTCGTGATGCACGACCAACATTTAAATAGGTCAATTTAATAAAGAATCCGTGCATGCTCAATAATATATATTGAGGACTATACATGGTGTGGAGTTTAAAAAAAGCTATCAAAACATTATCGGCTATAATAAAATCGACTATGATTGGTGAATATTCGGATCTAAAGTTACGATAAGAGAAAATAAAACAAGACATTTTAGTATAAAAACCACTTAAAATTGCCGCACCGGAAATCCTACGATCGACATTATCATCGTCACGCGCGACGTGGATTGAACATCTGGCATTTACGCAACGACGTAAAGCGTGTTTTGTCTTCACGCACACACTTTTCGCTCTAATTGCGGTGACGCAGGGAGAGGATACACCCATCCGAAGTTAGATATTTATTTGCTTCGGTACAAATCACAGAAAATGAGACAATTAGGACAGAAAAAATGATCTGATCGTCGAGAAAATTATAGGCAGAGAATTACATCAATGTAATATAGTTCAAGTTTGACACGAATTGGACAACAAGCGGCAGAGTTAATGATTAAAATATAGTGAAATCATCCGAAGTTAGCTGCTTTTACCGTGCAGGACGTTAGTAGCATGAAACGACAACAGTACTGGTATCCATGACACAATAATATGCTGTTTGTTGCGCATGGTGATTTTTTCTTGCTATGTTCCACAAAGTTTCATGCAGGCGATTTATTCAAAAACAAATCACTTAGATTAGATATGCAAAAAAATATTATTAATAAGTTTAGCAAGTATAATTATTGCTTGATCTGATTACCTGAAACGACATTTGTAAATTCATACTGGAGATTCTATGAAGTTACACATGAAGAGGTCCAATGTTGGCAAAAAGCCATATTTTTGTCAAACCTGTGGCGAGTCCTTTACAACATTTGCTGAGAAGAAAATGCACATACAAATTCATACTGGAAAAAAACTATATGCTTGTAAAATATGTGGAAAACAGTTTTCTCAAACTGGTAACTTGAAACGACATTTGCAAATTCATATCGAAGATAAACCGTTTTCTTGTGAAATATGTGGAAAATGTTTTAGTCAAAAAGGTAGTATGGAAGTACATATAAAGCGATTCCATGTTGGTGAAAAGCCATATTTTTGTGGAACCTGTGGAAAGTCCTTTGTAACATTGGGTGAGAAGAAAATGCATATTCAAAGTCATACTGGAGAAAAATTATATGCTTGCAGGATATGCGAAAAACGTTTCACTCGATCTTATACCTTGAAGCAACATTTGCACACCCATACTGGAGAAAAACCATATGGTTGCAAGATATGTGGGAAACGCTTTTCTCGATCTAGTATCCTGAAACAACATTTGCACATGCACACTGGGGAAAAACCATATTCCTGTGCAACATGTGGAAAATATTTCAGCCGAAAAAGTGGTGTAAACTTACATATAAAGAGATCCCATGTTGGTGATAAGCCCTTTAAATGTGGAACTTGTGGCAAGTCATTTACAACATTTGATGAAAAGAAAAGGCATATGCGAATCCATACTGGAGAAAAAACATATGCTTGCAAAATATGTGAGCGTTGCTTTGTTAATTCAAGTCACTTGCAACAACATATTCGAGTTCACACTGGAGAAAAAGCATATTCTTGTAAAACATGTGGAAAATGTTTCGTTCGAAAGAGTACTATGAACTTACATATAAAGAGATCCCATGTTGGCCATAAGCCCTTTAAATGTGGAACTTGTGGCAAGTCCTTTACAACATTAGGTGAAGAGAAAAAGCATATGCAAATCCATACTGGAGAAAAACCATTTGCTTGCAAAATATGTGAGCGTTGCTTTGTTGATTCCAGTAGCTTGCAAAAACATTTTCGAATTCACACTGGAGAAAAACCATATTCTTGTGAAACCTGTGGAAAATGTTTCAGTAGAAAAAATATTATGAGCGCACACATGAAGAGATCCCACGTAGCAAGTTGCTGAGAAGATAATGCATATGCGAACTCATATTAGAGAAAAACGTTTTTTTTAACATGAAACGACCTTTGCAAATTCATACTGGAGAGAAACCATATGCTTGCAAAAGGAGTAAAAAATGTTTCCCAATATTTATATTGAAGTGAAACATGTAGGAAATGTTTTATACATCAGGGCAGGGTGGTCCAAACCCAGGCCCGCGGGCCAAATGTGGCCCGCCGCTTTATTATCTGTGGCTCGCGTCACATTCGGAGAGTTATCAAAAAATCGCATTTCGTGTTGTTTCGTCATAAAATCAATCAGAAAAATCTTTTGACATATTGTCATCACTAATGTCACTGAATTAAATAGTGTTATGGCTAGCTTGGAAAACTAGCGAAGTTGAATGATGTGCTTGGCAGTCTAAATTGTTATCTGGCTTTCTAACTTTTTGGTCGGGAATATATGCTAACAATATAGGCATCATAGAAAACTAAAAATCAAATGCGGATTCTATTAGCCTAGAATGGCTATGCCTGATAACTATGTGTTTGCACAATAATACTGTTTGTTTCGCATTGCACTGTTTACCTATTCTTGGCACTATTGTGGCCCGCGAACAATGCAAAAATAATTTTGTGGCCCACAGAGGCGACAACCTTGGACCACCCTGCATTAGGGAATACATGATCATTTAAATTATCTATGAAATGTCTAGTGTCAATTTATAACATATGAATCAGTCGTTTAAAGATTCATTCAGAATCAAGATGTTCCTTTTCTTGTCAAATTAATTGATTATATGGGCACATTGTCTCTCTTGTACTCGAATTTTATCATTTTTATATAGATTCAAAATCGGTGTTAATGTTTGCAGTCTTAATAATAATCATTGTTCTTTGCTTGTATTCAAGCAATATTTAACTTTTTTCTAATTTAGGATGATTGTGAAAGTAGATGAATATCATAATTGTATAACTGGTTATTATTGCTTGAAAAAATGTGCATACTTTTATTAAATGCCTACCGGTTTGGGACTTTAGCTCTTAGATAAAACCGGTCGCATATCCAACATAGACTGGTAACAGTGTGAGATGTTTCATATCGCCTTTCCTCTCCCTTTGGATAAATATGTAATTTATTATGATATATTACCATTTTGACTTGGGTTTCTACGAGAAAGTTTATTTAACTTCCTTCTATTCTTTTGTGCCGTAAATCCAATGCAATGTAGAGGTAAGATCTAGCCTAAAAATTCCAGCCCGACCCGACGCGGGCCCGTGGGTATATAACCCGACCCGAGCCCGACTGATTACCTGGATTTGCAGGCCCGAGCCTAAGCAAACCCAAAATTTTATATTTTATTTAGGAGTTCTTTGAGTTGTCATTGCAAGAGTTTAGTAATCGCGTTGTGTTTCAGAAATTTAAATCAGATGTCTTCCTAGGAGTTTTAATTTAATTGCAGTAATAAAAAAAAAATAGTGTAGAAATATGTGTGCTAGATCAGGCTAAAATTCTTTACCAGTAATTAAAAAAAACACATTGTTGTATGCGATGAATCATAATGATGGTTTGAAACAAATACCACATTAAAAAAAAATTGTTTAAAGTATAACAAGAATATTTCGGGGGTCAAAGGTCGGGGAGAGGTTCATTACAGCTTCTCTGTTTTATTCACATTATTTCTTTTATAACAAGTATTCATTAGTTTAGTATATATTTTATAACATATATTTATTTAAAAAAAGTCAGCAATAGAGCCCGGCCTGAACGTAATGATTAATATTTCAGGCCCGACCCAAAATTTCGGCTCGGGCTTTCAAAGATGCTGATGCAAGAACGGGGATTCTTGAGTTTTGCTCCAGTAATGTTTGGACTTATAGCAATAGGGAAGATAAATTTACTGAGTAATAGTCTTGCTGAATACTAACGTAAATATATCTTGGAGACATTTCGTCCAACTGAGGTCAGACTGTAGCAAATAAAAAATACATTGCTCATGGTTGATAGCGTTCTTGGCTGTGGAATATTTTATAGTGATATGCTGTATATTCTGAATCTTACAAAGATACTACATACACGGTTTCCCGAATACATGTATATTTAATGCGCATTTAAACAATGGGTAACATAATAATGAAAGTTACAATGGGAAAAAATAAATCGGCAATTAACAGCGGAGGACTGTGATAAAAGATTTGGATACAATGAAGTTCAAGATAATTTTGTGTTCTATTTAAATTGTTGATGACAGTTTTGGTCTAATATATGAACAATAGAAATTGATTGTTTATGAAATACAATTTTTCGGTAGATCTCGAAATAGATATTTCTTTCAGTTGAAACGTCCAGGGTTTAATAATTCTATTATTCAACGTACTGCGTGCCAAACTTGTATATATCAAGTGTATGGCTTTTCCCAGTACGACTTCACATATGTCTTTTCAAAAAGAATGAGACTCTTATTCTGTATGAATTTTCATATGTACCTTAAAATTACTGGATTGTGCATAACATTTGCCACATATTTCACAAGCATACGGCTTTTCTCCAGCATGAATTTGTGCATGTTTTTTCAAATCACTTGTTGTAGCTGAGAGCTTTCCACAAGAATGTGGCTTCTCTTTTGTATGAATTCGCACATGCTTGTTTGCCACAGAATTTACAAGAGTATGGTTTCTCTCCCGTATGTGTCCTTCTATGCCTTTTCAAATTACTCTTGGATGTGAACCCCCTACCACATAGTTCGCAAGAATGTGGCTTTTCTCCGATTTGTGAGCTCATATGGACATTCACATCACCAGCTCCTGCAAAGCACGCAATATGGCTTCTTATATGGGTATTCATACCACTAAGGCTGCTCCGTCATCTCCCAACTCATTATAAGATAAATCAAGGCTGAAGAGTGTAGTGCATTGTTATCAACTAGGTTGCAGTTAGCAATTTATCAATGAATGACTGTTTAACGTTTGTCACATTTTTCACAAAAGTGTGGCTTTTCCCCAGTATGAGTTCTTATATGGACATTCAAATCACATATTTTACAGAAATATGGTTTCTCTCCTGTATGAGTATTCATATTATTATATGGCAGTTCAAATTTCAAGATTGAAAAAGAATTTTTCAATTTCAAGAATTTTTTAAGAATTGTCTTTAGGAAAAGTAAACGTGAAAGCGTAAATCATTTCTATAAATCGCTAAATATACTCAAGGTTGAAGACATAATGAAATTTGAAGTATTATCATTAGTTTATGATTTTCATGACAATTCATTGTCAAACTGCTTTGACGACATACTAACCAAAACCACTTCCAATCGAAGAAGTAATTCCAATTTATTCATACCGTTTATGAGTAAATCTGTGACCTCGGACACAAAAAATATTGAACCTTCATGAATGACCATGATAGAAAGTTGGGACACTCTTCACTTGCACATACTTATTTTCATGAAAATATTAAACAGCTACAATATTGCTATTGTCCCTGCAGCTGCTGATTGTTGTTGAGTCGGCAGTTAATCTCTCTCCACCTGTTCTACATCTAATGTTGGTGTGTCGGGTTCTGTAGCATGCACAGCAAATTATTTTATTTATTTATTTTTCAAATGGCTGTTTACACTCTGACATCTGCATGCGCATGTTCCCTTTTTGCTTAATGTTGGATTTTTGACATTACACATGCATGGACTTTGTTTCTATATGGGTGGTGTGATACCTTATGAGGGTTGTAGACCGTATAGTTTAGCTCCTGTACCTATTATTGTAATTAGGCGACCAGTGGAGATATATTGGATTCTCCCCTTCGTTTTAATTTGTTGTGGTATTCTATGATTTGTTTTGTGTGTATACAAAATTTTATCCTAGGTTGAGGTTCTGCTGTGAAGTTGATGTGAAGGCCAACATACGAATGGTCAGTGTGGTTTGAGAGTTTCTGCATGGTTTGCGAGGAATTCACCCTGTGTCCCAACCATATTTCAACTCTGGTCTTTGAACTAGCGTTTTAAAGATAGATAACTAATAATCAATATCTACTCAAAATAATAATTGATTCTAAACAAAAGTGTGGGGTAGTGCTGTTTCCGAATATGTAACCCTTGAATATCCTACTCGCAGATTTATTTTCTGTTTTTCAGGTCGTTCCGTGATGATCAATACAATGGCTAGTTTATTGAATATAAATGGTGTCTACAACAACAAAATTCGCAGGCTGATGTCTCATCCACGATAAACTTGAATTGACATCTATTACGCCACAATAATTAAATAAAGAAATGATCCTGCGAAATAGCAATACTAATTCCTTTATCCTTGCAGAAGTCAATATCTAAGAATGAAAAAAAAAACTTATAACCTTAGTAACCAACATGTTCCTATGCCTGTCTTTCTACGTTAATTAATTATAATTACTCATACCTGTAAAGTTACTGATAGATTCAAATACTTATTACAATCTGGACTATAATTTGGCAATAATAGGCTCTAGTTTGGACAATGAAGTGGTCTAGCCCAGTGGTTCCCAACCGCCGGTCCGCGAAGCTTTTTTGCCGGTCCGCGAGAAGTTTTGTTGTTTTTATGCCGTCTCAATCGCTTTACCGTATACAAAGTTTTTTTTTTGTACTTTGTAGCCTACCGTATACAAAGTTGCGTTGGCTCATTACGCAATTCTCTTCCGCCGTCATATTGCGACATCTTGACGCCGTCTTACGCGACATCTTGGCGCCGAGCATTCGCACTTTTCGCCTCCGATTCATCGCGAATGCGCTCCATCAAATCTCGCAAAATTAAGAAGCCTCAAAATCGGCATGCGTGCTTTTTCTGTTCTGCGTGCTTTGCCTGCTTAATATGACCATCCATATAAAACGTAATGCATATCTTCTTTTTCAAACCAGAAAACAGTCAAGAACAGTATAATATTCCAGTAAGAGAGGAACTTGTTGCGACCCCACAGGTGGTCCCGAGACGCCCAAAAAAGCATGGGCCGCAGATATCTTTTCCAGACACAGTAGGATTTTGAGCCTGTTGCCAAGTTACCGACGACTTTGGCATTGTAATGCAA